AATACTAGAAGTTACTAAAAAACATGAAGAACTTGATAAGCCTCATCTAAATTATATCCTTAGGGCAATTTTTGTCCTCAAAGAGTAAAAAGTCATGGGTTTTGATATTTTAAGGTAAAAACGCACATATGAGTCAGTACCAATAATTTTAAAACATTTATTTATTCATAAGCTTTCATAGACTTGGATGTGAAGATTTTTTTAAGTGATTTTTGGTTTTGCTTCATTTTTGTGAAATCACTGTTACCGACTCCACAATCATATCTTTTGTCTAGAAATACATTTCAAAACTTGTAAATAATAGTAGTTAGCAATATCACAAGAATAATACTAATGTAAATGAGGACGTGAGGGAAGTTACTAAACTTGTCTGAGCTCCTGCACCTCACCATAAAACCAGTCTTGCTCCTTCTATCCTGCCCTCCCTCAAGATTACTGAAAGGATAAGAAGAGATCATGTATTTACACTACTCACTAACACAGAGGCTTCTGCACAGTCCTTTAGCAAACGCCATCCTTCCCCCAGCCTTCTTCATAAAATGGAGAGGCCCTTGTTGGTATGTTCCCTGCACACCTACACAATTTCCACTGGCTCAAATGGAGAGCGAATGACTTAAAAGAGATAGTGATGGAAAATGGACTCTGTTACAGTTGGCATAAATATGCAACAAGACACTGTTAATTTATGATTGTGCATCAAATACATTCCATGTTACCAAATTTTCTGCACAGATTCTGCAGAGACATATCCCCAGCATGCACAGTCTCTGGACGGCACCAGCACCAGCTCTATCCCACTGTACCGATCCTCAGAGGAAGAGAAGAGAGTGACGGTCATCAAAGCCCCGCATTACCCAGGGATCGGGCCCGTGGATGAATCCGGAATCCCCACAGCAATTAGAACGGTAGGAAATGCCAGCATGTGCGTCTGTCTGGGGCTGTGCAGGGACTCCACAAAGGACGGATTGTCCATGGCTTTGTGCATTCCTAGGGTCTTATATAATGAGGATTGCCCTCTGTGCCATCCGAGTTCTCATGAATGTTATGCTGTGTGTGGCAGAGAAAGAAAGCTGTCGATGGAAGAGAATTACACAATCTGTTTTTCCATTTGAATGAAAAATCATGAACACTGTGATTTTGTTAAAGGATAAAACTGTGTTGTGTCGTTTGATTGTTTTTTGGTGGTTGTTTTTTTTTTTTTTTTTTTTTTTTTTTTTTTTTTTTTTTTTTTTTTTTTTTTTTTTTTTTTTTTTTTTTTTTTTTTTTCATCTACCTTTTACCAAGGAGGCTTAGGGCCATAGAGAGGAAAGAGAAGGAACAAGACAAGGGAAATTCTTTGGCTGCCTTGAATTCCCATGTGGGTTGCAAATAAACCAGTGATGTATTCCTTTCTTGAAATGGATGTGTGTTAACGCCTGGAGATTGGGAGCTGTGATTTGGGAGTTGGGAGGTGAGAGGATTGGAGCAAGGGGAGTTAATGTCATAGAAAGGAAAAGCTGTCTGAAGAAAAATACACATTTCAGTGTCCCTCTTCAGCTGTGCCTGCTGAGAGCTCTCCTGGGATGATAAGTGAAAGTGTTCGGATTTTTTTTTAAGTTTTTAAACTCTGCCAAAGCATTGCTCAGTGTGTCTGGGCAGCCCCTTCTGGCAAAACGCAGCAGTAGCAGAGGCAGCTTCTGAGAGCCTGGGCAGGCAGCGGCTAGCTGCCCAGGTCCACTGGAACAGAAGGCTTGTGCCAGCCGGGAGAAGGGAGCCAGGGACAGCATGAGAGCAGCAACACGTTTGCAGGTGAAGCTGGGGGCTGTGCGGGGAGGGAGCACCGTCTGTTCATACTTTTCAGCAAGACCCATGTAAAGCTGGGGTGTGGCCAAGAGCTGATCCCCAAAATGCAGACCTGGGCAGCCAAGACAATAAGGGGTAGAGGCAAAGAATGGGAAAGAGTTGGGGGGAAAAAAGCTGTGGTAAGATTGGAAACAGTCAAAAAGAACTAACGATAAAGGGTGGGGATTTTCTTCTGTCCTCAACTTTACATTTTTATACGGGAATTATGTATTTTATATACAGAGAGAAGAGTTTAAAATGGATTATTCTCAGCATCTGTATTCCATCTGAAAGCCAAAAAGTGAATCTGTACAGCAGTTACTGGAGCTTTAGACTCTCATTAGATTGTAGGAATGTTGAATGTGGCTAATTATGACGGTCTAATAGTCTGTCTTGAAACACGATTGCCATATTATGTCGAAGAAAAAGTTCAGGGATTATGACCAATATTCTTCATTTTATGACGATTACATGTTTCGGGTGATGATGTTTTCTTATTCATTTCTCTTCTAAGATTTCTGGCTCAAAATGGTTAAATCTGAAACTTTCTCCTAATTATTTAGGGATAGAGAGTCAGACAGGTATGGTGTCACTGGTTTTGTGTAATTGACACTTGAGGCACAGTATAGACAAAATTAAGAAAGCCCAGATTCTGTGTAGTTATAGAATCTGTCTGAGAGGATTTTATTAAAGATATCTGAGTATGTTTTTAGATCAATAAAGGATACATAATAGCCATGCAAGCCTGGCCCACATTTTCATCCATTAAAAGACATAATTTCCTTAACTAACAAGGCCTTGCTCAGTTAGTTTCAAAAGGAAAAACTGAGATGCTAGAGATGGTTGATGAAAGTTAAGTCATCTTAAAATTTTTAAAATGTTTACTGCCAAATCAAAAGCACGCTTGGGTATGCATAAGCAAACACACTAAACATTTTAATGCTAGTTCCCCTTCTATAAAATAGAAAATACAATGTAAGCAATGCAGAAGTTTCTTGTAAGGAACGTTAATTTTTATGTACAACTGTCTTCTTACTTAGATCTTTAAATCTTTACAAAGAAGGTACAGGTCTGCGAGGACTCTCATCTTACGCTGACTATACAGAGCACATCCCCAAGTATAGATGTGTTTATAAATGTCAAGTCAGGCTGTCTCTGAGCCACTGCAGGCCAAGACTCTCCGAGGCTGTTTTTCTTTCTCATGTGTGTAGAAAGTAATGATGATCAGATTCAGTGTAATCGCCAGTGGTGATACTGTTGCAATGTACCATGGTGTGGTATCATTTTAGACAGCCAGCCTATACTTAGGAAGCAGAATTTTGTAAAGTCATCCAGAAAATCTAGAAAGCCAAGAGTCAACAAACGGTACTTTTGAGCTATTTTAATGAAGGGAGCAGCCCTCCAGATTGCCTCGCTCCTGTGACCTGGGACACCTACGTGAGCCTTTCCCTGCCATTCTTCAAAACAACAACAAAAATCACCAGGGCTCAGCTCCCATGAGATTGTGTCATTAAGGCCAGCTAGTTAAGTGAAATACAAGATTCTTTTCTTCTACTTCCAATGTAACCCTTGTTGGGGTATTTTCAAAACTGAAAAGGAGAAAAAGTATACAGTGACTACTGTATACTGCTATTTAGAAAATATGCCTGTTTTTCTTTTTTGAAATCTCTGCGTGTTAAATCAGTGTAGAGTTCGGAAGTTTCAAAAACTATAGGAATGTAAAAAATGTAGAAAGAAAAGTGCATAGTGAATTGCTAGTCGCTGTTTTTCATGCAAAATGATTTTACATGCAAAAGTAAACTTCCTGAAATTTGAGTAGACTTCTATTTTCTTATTCTCAATCTTAGGCATAGCAGCCTCCATGATGGCATTTACAAAAGAAACTTTAAATGCTTCAAGTGCTTCTTTTACAAAGGGACGTAGAGTTTTAGTATTTTATTTTGCCAACTTCATAGTTCCCTCTGCCAACAGGGCATTTCCTGGCATCTCTGTGCTCACCATATAAAGCTAGCAGATGGCAGAACTGTGAGATCCCACCTGATACAGGCCCTCCAGCAAGTGAAGAAAAAACTCCCCCTGTCTGTCAAGATGCATTGCCATATACAGTGGTGGAACTGACTTAGTAGCCTTCCTTACTGCCACTGGTGTGTCTAGGAATACAATTTTGCATAACATTACGTTGTATTTTCTGTGGCTTTAGTACTATAAAGGAAAGGAGGTTTAATTAAAGAGAAATCAGTCCTTTATAAAAATAAACTTCCTTGAAAGATACATGTTTACCTACTTTGTTGGAACAAACAATAGACTCTTGCTTCATCACTGCAATCCCTCCCACCATTTCCCATCCTTTGATTGAATGTTCAATCAGTAATCTCAACTCTTCCATGTGAGAATGAAGAGCTGACTCACAACAAAGTCAAGTGGCCCTTAATCGATATTTGGGGTGATTTTCAGAATAATATATTCCCAGAGGTCAAAAGAAATTTAGATATAGCACAAAACCCTTAATGTCCAAATGAAAAACGCAGTGACCACATTTCTGGGGAAAAAAGATCAGGCAATAAAATCTAAACCAAAGCTCGGTCTAGTAAGTATAGGAATATTTTTGTATCAGTCCTAACAGAATTTTTTAAATCAAGAGAGCTGTCTTGGGAAGTTTGGTATATTTAGTTACTATAAGCAGGATGGTCAAGTTTGTTGCCCAGGTGGCTCTCAGAAATCTGGGGTAAGATCTGGCCAAGCAAAATCTGTGACTATGATTATAAAAGCATGTGTCTACTTTACAGGTATCAGAAAGGCAGAGTTCCGTCCAATAAGCTATATTCATTCATTATTTCATTCGACAAATATTTGAGGTTCCCCCATGTCATTATTTATTGAGTAGTTATTATATTCCCGGCATTACGCAAGGCCCTGTGTATGCATTGTCTCATTCAATTTCCACAACCATCCTATGACTTAGATATAATTATGTCACAGAGAGGAGAAAACTGAGACTTAAGAAGGTGACATGACTTGCCCAAATTTATATTGCTAGGGTGTATTAAGCAGCAATTTAAGGAACCAGGATTTGAATCTTGGTTCAAGGTTCCACAATAATTTCATCTTTCCACTACAACCTACTGTTCCCATCACGTCCGAAGCCTGGATGCATATGGAATTGTACTCTCAAGGAACTTACCATTTCAGCCGAGCAAATGTTATATACACTCTATTATCATATTAAAATGTTTGAAGCAATAGCTACATTCTTAAATTTTCTCTAAGACTCTGGGATGCCTACTACATCCTGTATTTTAGTAACTTGGACTAGTGAGTAGCAAATTGATTTCTCTAGATCCACGCTGACCAGAATACAATATGAATCAAAAATATTCCTCAGTTAGTTCTGAATACACGGTCTTGACAGAACATTCAATAAAAAGCATCTAAGGATAATGATCATTATCACCAAAAGGAGTTAAGCAAATTATTACAACAGTCACTTTTATTAAGTGAACTTTACATAAATATATGTGTGCAAATATCAACTGTCTAGCTCTGGGCACAGCTACAGTTTGAAAAAATAAAACCATACCATGTAATGTTCCAATTCAGCCTAAATTCAACACAAGGTAATATATTTACAAACCGCAAACATAACTAAATAAATTGCTGAAATTGTCATGAAGTCATAGTAGAGTCAGAATATTTTGTCAGAGAATGGAACTCTGTTATGAAGGAGATAAAACAGAGAAGTGAAAACGCTGAGAAGCGGTGCTGATTTGAAGCAGCCTGTAACTACTGGACGCTGTGTTTATTACAGACGGTCGACCGGCCGAAGGACTGGTACAAGACGATGTTTAAGCAGATTCACATGGTGCACAAGCCGGGTATGTCTGCTGCTCTGCTTTCCGATCAGGTCCTTGTGGGTTGAAGGGTGTACACTCCTCTTTTGCATAGGTTTCATTCACACAAAATGTCAAGACCCCAGCAAACTCCGTGGCCCCTTCCTTTTCGACATGCCTCCTGTTCTCCTTCTATCACCCCTCCGATGGCAGCTCCTGTGCCTCTGCCTCCCCGCTGAGCTGCCAAGAAGCCTCCCCATGGAGGACAACCAGGCACGCTGGCCTCAGCCCTCCATCCTCCCCTGTCGGCAGTCTAAATCGGTGTGTTGCCTGGGTAAACAGACACAGTGTTCCTCTGCCCGCCCCTGTCTGCTCTCATCAAGAGAATCCCTCTGAGCAGGTCTGACAGAGCCTGCGCCGTAGACAGGAGAGCACCAAAGCACTTAGTAAAGGAAATTCAGAATCCAGAGTAGAGGGGATTCTAGGGAAGCAAGGACAAGGGCCTGACTTTGCAAGCTCTGAAGAGGGCAGCAAGGAGGATGTGTTACAGACAAAAAAGGGCAGTTTGCGGAGGCCTGTGGTGGCATGCACCTGTAGTCCCAGCTACTCAGGAGGCTAAGGTGGGAGCATTGATGGAGCCCAGGAGTTGGAGGCTGCAGTAAGCAATGATCACACCACTGCACTCCAGACCTGTCTCTAAAAAAAAAAGGAAAGAAAAGTAAAGTAAAAGTGGCAGTATGAACTAGGAAAAATACATTGCTTTTCTAACAAATTTCTGTTGTTTCTCTGAAGTTCTGCTGTCTCATTATGCCATGGTGACGATCTGTATTACCATATATTTATGTTTCGTTTTCCAGATGATGACACAGACATGTATAATACCCCTTACACATATAATGCAGGTAGGATGGGTTCCCTTGCATGCAATGACTATTTTGTGTTCAGCGATGTTGGGAAGAACTGCATGCTTCTTTTACCCTTCCGTTTGAGCACGTGTTTTCGGTCCATGTATCAGGAGGACGATTGCTTTTCTTTTCTCAGAGCTTGCTTAACAAAAGGATTGACTTTTCTCATGGAAATGAGAACTAATACTGGCTCATCTCATTCATTCCCACTGTTGGTTTATTCTCAGCTTCAGGAATGTTTAACCAAAGTGTGAAGGACAGCCTGAAAGGACACACTGTAACCCAGGGTACAAAGTAAGATAAAGATCTTTTATCAGCAGAGAGAAAGATTGCAATTGTGTAAGATCTTTCAGATACACTTCACAAAAAAACAAGTCAAGCAAAGTATTCGGTGACCTTGTCCCTGCTTTTTGCTCTAAAATGCAACCATTCATTGAAAGATTTTTAAAATCCCCCTTGGCGGGGCGACTTTTCTGACTCAGAATTGCCAGTGGTCATAATAGAATGACTTCAGTTCCAGGCATTGCCACTTGGATTGGTGTGCATTGGTATCCAGTTCAGAGGTCTGCAGGCTGGAGGGAGGGACCCCTGAGAAATGTTTTCCCCTTCATCACTTTCTCCTGATTGTTGCCTCGGGATTCTACCCAGGCCTCCCCTCAGACCCTGCCCAGCCAGGGTCTCAGGACAGGTGCACAACTATTTTTTTTCTTCTTTCTTTATTTTATTTGACTGCTCCCCTCCCCTTCAGCAGCTGCAACTTCACTTGGGGTCCCCTGGCCAGCCTGGGGTCACATGATCCTCCCCGTTCTGCATACCCGGAGACCACACTCAGGCCCTTTAACTATTTGGAAGTGTGCTCCTATCTCCAAAGACAGATAGATAGAGGGAAACGCAGTAGAAGAATCTCAGCAAGCCCTCTGGGTTTAGGTCTTGGCTCCCCCCAGTGACAGCCTGAGGCCCTCAAAGAAGTTTCCCTTAACTTTCATCCCTGCTCCCACACATGCCAACCTCACCTATTTAGCTCAAAAGTTCAAGTCCGGCTTTTGAATCCAAGCCAAGCTGTCAGTGTAGACGTTGTCTCCTTTCATTTGCTGTGGAAACTTGCATGAACTTTCAGGAGAAGCAAACAAGTACAAATCGAATTGGCCCGAATGATTGGGTTGTGGGAAATTTAGAATTTTTATAACTGTTACAATATTGAGATTTTTGTCACATTAGTAATGAGTGAAGGGAACGGCAGTGACGTCTTACTTTGTAGAGCCCTACAAGCTGAGCATGTGATCAGTAGACGAGTCAACTGCAGCTAGTCTCTTTTGCTGTCTACGAACTGGGCATCCCATGCTTAACATCTTGTATTTTTCTGCCTTTTTTTCTATACGTCCCTGCCCTGTTCTTGCCCTGCCCACCCAAACTAATTCTTTAGGGCTGACTCTGAATGCATGGGTTTCATAATATCTTCTCTGGGCAATCTACCACCTACTAACATCCTTTAATTCTTAATATGTATTTTCCTCATTTGGTCTTTATTATACGTTACCAATTATTTTCCATCATAGTTCTATGTGTGTCTGATTTCCCAGGCGCACTCTCAGCATATTGAGGACTAATGCTTCCCTGCACCTCGCACAGCCCTTTATAAACACAACTGTGTGCAATTTTATTTGACAATCAGCATGTCAATTTTCATATGTAAATCAGGGTTTTTAAAGTATTAGAAGGTGTTTGGAAACAGTCCTATTTTTGAACTTTCCCTGAAACCGTAACTATGTTATCAGTGTATACAATTGAAGAGAAAATTTGCTGAGTACTTATAAGTTTATTCCTAGTACCAGTCTGAATTATTACTAATTCTGAAACAGTTGACAAAGATTTACTGTAATCAGGGCTTAGGTACAGAATAAACTTGTAATTAATAAATTAACAGATATTAGTAAATTAATATTAATAAGAAACTACCTTCTAATGAATGTATTATGAATATGCTTATTGATAATTTAATTGCCAAAAACTTATTCTAATCAGGGCTTATGTACAGAATAAATCTGTAATTAATAAATTAATAGACATTAGTAAATTAATAATAAATTAATAAGAAACTACCTTCTAATGTATGCATTATGAATATGCTTATTGATCATTTCTATGCAATCGTTGGCTATTTTGAGGGGGGCAGATAATTTAAGGCATTTTTTAAGACGTTGTTTGCTTCTGTTTTTTGTCTGCTCTTGTTTTCTGTCATGATAGGTCTGTACAACCCACCGTACAGTGCTCAGTCACACCCTGCTGCAAAGACCCAAACCTACAGACCTCTTTCCAAAAGCCACTCCGACAACAGCACACATGCCTTTAAGGATGCGTCCTCCCCAGGGCCTCCCCCTCATGTTCCCCCGCCAGTCCCACCGCCTCGACCAAGGGATCGGTCTTCAACAGAAAAGTAAGGCATTTCCCCCCAGAGTGCCTATGTCTAGCTTAGGGTAAAAATAAGGCTGCATGACATTCGGTAAAGAATCAGTGCACATGTCACAGAGAAAGCTATGTATAATCTTGTTGGTCCACACATACACCATATTGACCTCCTCTACTGGGATTGTAGCAAATGTTTTTTTGTTTTTTTGTTTTTGAGACAGAGTCTCACTCTGTCACCCAGGCTGGAGTGCAGTGGCGCAATCTTGGCTCACTGCAACCTCCGCCTCCCAGGTTCAAGCGATTCTCCTGCCTCGGCCTCCCGAGTAGCTGGGACTACAGGTGCACGCTGCCACACCTGGCTAACTTTTTGTATTTTTAGTAGATATGGGATTTCACTGTGTTAGCCAAGATGGTCTCGATCTCCTGACCTCATGATCTACCCGCCTTGACCTCCCAAAGTGCTGGGATTACAGGCATGAGCCACCGCACGGGTCCATTAGCAAATGTTTTTGCTGTCTTGTTTCGTGATACTGAAGTGCCCTAAATTAGACTTGAAGTAATATGGGCACCTTTTCTGCTTTTTGATCAATATATACATAAAAGAGACAAGTAAATAGAAGTAATTGACACGTACAACCTTTGGTATACCAGGTAAAGGGCTATGCAGTTAATTTTCTGTTTCTCCAGGTCTATTAATAAGATACATTTTTGAAAGCAGGGAAAGTTACTCATAAATCATAATGAGGCATTAGCTAACAAATGTCTGTGACTTGGTTCTACCAGTTTTTCAAGCTAATACAAGTTTTCATTTCTCCACTGAAATATTTTTATACAAACTAGCCATATGAAAATAAAAATTTATAAATACATTTTTATTGAATCATTTTTATTGGGATTATAACTACTTCTTCTACTTATAGGTAACCTTTGTTGAATGCTCATTATGAGCCAAGTACTACGCTAAGCACTTTTTCGGTATCATATCATTTGATTCTGAGAACAACCCAGTGAGATATGTTCTATTTTAGAGAGGAAGAAACTGCAGTTTAGAAAATTGAAGGAACTTACTGAGCTCATACAGCTAGTATGCTCAAGCCAGGGTCCAAGCTCAGCTCTGATTAAATCCAAAGCCTATGCTATCCTAGCAATTAATAAACAAGAATATAAAAAATATTCCTATCATACCCACTCCAGAAAAATTGTATTCAACACCCTATTGTACCATTAAGAATAATTGATGATCCAGCCAGGTGTGGTGGCTCACACCTGGAGTCCCAGCATTTTTTTTTTTTTTTTTTGAGACAGAGTCTTGCTCTGTTGCCCAGGCTGGCGTGCAGTGGTGCAATCTCAGTTCACTACCACCTCCGCCTCCCAGGTTCAAGCAATTCTTTGCCTCAGCCACCCAAGTAGCTGGGATTACAGATGCCCACCACCACGCCTGGCTAATTTTTGTATTTTTAGTAGAGACGGGGTTTCACCATGTTGGCCAGGATGGTCTTGAACCCCTGACCTTGTGATCTACCCGCCACGGCCTCACAAAGTGCTGGGATTACAGGCGTGAGCCACCGTCCCCAGCCAGTCCCAGCACTTTGGGAAGCCATGGTGTGTGGATTGCTTGAGGCCAGGAGTTCGAGAGTAGCCTGGCCAATATGGCAAAATCCCATCTCTACTAAATAAATAAATAAATAGAAATTATATAATAGAGTAATTGATTATCATATAGCGTACAGCATTCCACCAAAACACACACATCATATGTGAATGGGGTTCTCACTTTAATACCAGCCTCCTCAGGATGAATTATGTGAGGTCTTAAAATTGAGAAACAGTTTCTAGACATAAATTGTTATCTTTGTCATCAAAAAAGAACCAAAATTAACGTTTTGATTTAAAGATATTACCTGTCTGATGCATTTTGTTAAAATTAAATATCTCATTATGATAATCCCTTAAAAATTCTATATGGCTTTCATGTGTATTGTCTCATGTGATGCTCAAAACTCCTCTGCAAGGAAGAACAACACATTATTGCTATCTGTGTTTTACACAAGTGGGAAAAACGAAGACTGAGAAAGTTTAAGGGGTCTTGCTTCATGTCACTCATGAATTTAGTAGAAAACTAGGACTTGCCCCTAATTCAGTGTCTATTTCCAACATGCCATGGGGCCAGAATTTCATTCCATTCCATGGAATCAGAATTACCCCAGTCTACAGTCAGAAAAGCTTTGCTCCTAAAAATCATGGCCCCTGGGAGGCTGAGGAGAGAGGATGGCTTGAGCCCAGGAGTTTGAGTCTGCAGTGAGCTATGATCACACCACTGCACTCCAGCCTGGGCAACAGAGAGAGACTCTGCCTCTTAAAAAAAAATAAAATAATTTTTTAAAGACCCCAAAGTAGCCTTCTTCTTTAGCCCAGCAACCTAGAAAAGCTTAATTTTGTGAAATCCTTTGAAGCTTTACTTTGTAAGCCCTCTGACAACCTCTTGAAAGATATTCCTTGGGGGGAAAGTTCTGGTTCCTATGAGCGAGATGTTTGACTCTGGTTTTTCAAGGCTCACACCAAAAGATGACCTCCTGTCCCACACTGCTTGCTTTGGTGCGTGCCAATCCACATGACACTTCTGTACTCTTCCCAGACAAACAGTGACGCCACTTGCAAGAAATAAGATCAAACATGGTGTGCGCATTACTCCTTGTCACTTTGGATCAAAGATCACAAAGGTCACAAAATGGTGGGTTAAACGCACGTAGTTCAGCAGAGCTTACTGCCACCTATTTGGAGCACAAACATACACAGCTGCCATTAGTGACCCAGAGGCTCACTCACAGGTCACTCTCTGCACATCTACAAACCCCTCGTGTGAGTTTTTGAGCCACTGGGAGGACATGTGGTATTTTTCACAGATTAACTTTTTAGCCTGAGGGATTTTTTTGTAAGCTATGCTAAAAGTAACTTTGCAAACAGATAACAACTGGTATTACACAATTGCTTTAAGCAAAAAGGATTATTTTAATGTGTGATTTGTTGTTTATTTCTAGGCATGACTGGGATCCTCCAGACAGAAAAGTGGACACAAGGAAATTTCGGTCTGAGCCAAGGAGTATTTTTGAATATGAACCTGGCAAGTCATCAATCCTGCAGCATGAAAGACCAGTAAGCACTTGTCATTAAACAGAATGCCAGCTCGCTAGGCTCCCAGGGTAACCAAATAAACCTGAATTTCAGATCCGTTAGCAATTTTTGTCACAAAGGTAATGTATCTATTTGTCATTAGTTAGAAATCATGTTTATTTTGTATCATGATTTGTACATCTCATCTCAGAATTGAAAGATAAACATTCTAATATATTGTCTTTACTGACCAAATATTTTTGTGTGTGCACGCATGTGTGTATTAATATATATACACATGTAGGTGTGTATACATACACATATATACACATGTATATATATGTATATCTATATATATATATACACACATATACATATATATTTATATGCAAGATTCATTTGCATGTAACTATAACTGTGCCTAATCATTAACCGGAGTTTAACTTTTAAAAACCATTCATAAATACAATACTTAATTGCTATCATAGCTTGCTAATAAGAAAAATCATTAATGAGTTAAATGAGTGTAAAGAATGCTATCACGGTTAGGGTGGGGATAATAAGTAGGAGAAAGTTAATTACAGACATATTGTTAAGAAGAGGAGTTGAACCTCTGATTATGAAACTTAAAACTTTATAATCTCCCCGATACACATGGACCCAGGCAGTTCTATCCCTGGTTTTCCATATTGGTTTTTTAATATTTCTTTGGATGAAGGGGAAATTTTCCAAATGCCCTTTTTATAACAAGTTGTTTTAATTGCTTCTTATTAAATCCCTCCTCAGGTTACCAAGCCTCAAGCTTCCTGATTGATTGTCATTCTAATGGATCAAGATTATATTTCACTTTGCAGTATTTTTTCCAACTATTTAATTATATGCAAACAAAAATGTCTATGCACTGAAGAAGAAGCACTTGCCTCCTCAAAGTGCAGGTTCACACATAGGCTCTCCCTCCGCCTTCTTTGGTTTGGGTTCCCCGGTGCTCCCTTGCATGTCCTTTGCTTCCCCTCAGAAATCAGTGCCCTGAGGATCTCTTTGAAACCCCACGGTTCCTCTGCATCTCCATCCAAACCTACTGCTAGGAAAACATTTGCAATCAATTGCAATGTACTCTTATTTTTGCTTTAAAAGAATTTCAGGTGTCAGTGAATAGGAAAAAGAGAGCTTTCTTTGTTAGCCCCTTTAAGAGTCTCCAAGAAATCACGCTCATATATAATGCAAGGCCAGCCCTGTGGTTTCACTGGCAGCCCTGGCCTCGCATACCCAACATGAGTGTCCTTGATTTAGTTTTTGAAACGCTGTATTTGTGGTTGTGTTCTGGAGAAGCACGTTCAAAGCCTTATCTTCCGATAATTCATACATGATATGTATCTAAGCCTCTTACCCTTTCTTTAAACAACTCATATCTTTTAGAGTAACAGGACTACAAAAGAAAAACTGAAAGAAAAAAAAATCACTGATTTGCAGGCACCACTGCAAACTTCTAACCCATTTACTAGTTTCTATGATTGAGTATCATGTTACTCTGAACTTTCCAACTAAGAATTGTGTGACACACAGGGCCACCATTGCATAAAATTGAAAATTGCTAAATTATAAATCTCAGATTTAGAGGTGAATAGCAAAACATTAATGATCGTTCTAATAATGTACGTGACTCAGGATAATGAACGTTGGAATTGTATTGGAATGCTTCCGTAGCTGTGACGTCAGGAGACAGGACTGGTTTTAGATGCTTTCCCGCCAGGATGTTTCAATTATTTACTCATTCAGCAAAACTGATAGAGCACCAACTACGTGCCAGGCTTTATGTGAGGTGCACAGTGGAGAACAGGACACAGCCTCTACCTTGAGGAACTTCAAGTCTATCATTTGATATCCATGCAAGACTAGATCCGAGTCTGCAAAGGAAACAGCCTCTTCTATGGTTAAAACAAATGCACACCTAAAAAACCCTCCCTTTGCTCCTTTAGGGTTTACACACTGACACTTTCATTGCAGCTGAAATCCCCACATTACTCTCGTCTTTGGGTTCACAAAGACTTTAAAGCCTCCTCCAATAGCAATAACAATAATTGTAAATCTTTATTGAGTACTTACTATAAGCCAGGCTCTATAATTAGTCATTTATGCCTATCTCATGTCAAGTTTCCAACAGCCCTATTAAGCAGACACATGGCGTTTCCACTTTACAGAGGAAGAGATTGAAACACACATTAGCTCTCTGCCCCAGGGACACACAGCTGGTGGGAGCTGGAAGTACCTGGGCATCCTCACGCCTGGTGCACCTGATGACTGCTAGACAGCCACCCCGGGCGTAGCTGAGCAGGAAACACATCTAAGTGGTAGTTGTTATTTGATTCGCTTATTGGATAATTTTGCAGTATGAATTAATTTATTTATTGGCTAATTCATACTAAAGTGTACTTGGTTTACTTTATCAGAAACTTAGGCCCTAAGCAGTTGCCACACAGGACCAGTAGCCATGAATGTGACAGAGGTTCGAGTGTGGATAGGTGTCTGCAGCCACAGGAGAAGATAAGTAGAAGGAACTTAGAAACTTAGAAGGAAATGGGAATGGCTACCTTATGGAGAAATGCAAAGAACCAAAACTTTTATCCCTCCTAAACAATTCTGGAGAGGACCAATCTTAAGCACGATGGTTGGAGCTGGCCATATGGATCACTGGGGTCAGCCTTTCCAGGATAGGATTACGTCATCATTTTTTTAAAAAATTAGTTCTGACTTCATTTCAATTCCCTCTGTAAATTAGAAAACAAAAAGAGCCATGTGGGCATTGGTGGCGCAGAGACTGGCTGCGTATGGATAGAGTTGACAGGAGATTCTGGCGTGTTTGAAAGACCAGCTAGAGGGTAGAGAACAGGCTTGCCAAATGAGAGTGGTGTCACAGCACGCGGCCAGCACTGAGGGCTGCCAGCGTCTTATCCGTGCATTCTCATGTCTTTGGACTTCAAGATGGTTTGGGAGCATCCCTTTGCTCTTTTCATTTTTAATTTTTGAAAAATATACACAACACCTGGGCAATTCTGTGCTGCTGTTTTGAATCTTTACATGGCCTCTCCATCTGCCCACTTTTCCAGAGGATCATCTTGGATGTTCCCCACCCCTCCAGTGGACTCAGGGTCTGCCCGCCAGAGTGTCCCTGCCACGCCTCTCTTCCGACCCACAGTTGTCCGTGCCTGGCTCCAGTGACAGGCACCTCATTCATTTCCCTGCCTCTCCAGTCTTGTTTCCCACCACAGTGAAGGCAATCATGAGAAAATCTTTATAAAATCTCCAGCTCAACATTCTCTCCTGGCTCTTCACTGTCCTTTGAGCAAAATCTAAAACCCTGAGATAATTTATAGAAGGCCTCTGATTGGGCTTCGACTGGCCTCTCCAGCCTCTTCTCTCTTCCCACCCTCTCTGCCTCACTAGGTTCTAGCTACACAGAGAACTTTCAATTCCCCTCTTGCCAGGCCTCTGGAAAGGCTGCTCCTCCTTACCAGGAAAAGCTCTCCCGACCACCTCTTTCTTCACATGGAGAATTCCATCCCATCCTCCAGGTCCGAGCACAGCCCTACTTCCCCCAGGGAATGTCCCTGATTCCTCAGCAGTAGGTTGGAGGCTCCCCAGGCTGTGTGTCCATGGCACAGGCTGTTCCTCATGAGATCTTGAGCTTCTTGAAGGCAAGGACTGTGACTGGTCCACCAGCTGTATCCCGACACCTGGCACAATGCCTGGCCTCTAGCAGGTGTTGAATGAATATGCATTCGTGGAATTTCTAAGTGAATGAATGAACACAGATTTCACCCTTGCGATTAGTGGATAAAGTTGGTGAGGGACTGAATCCTTATTCTGCTGCTTATCCATGAAGCCTATACATTTCTAGTGCAAAAGGCCCAGTGGGCCTCAAAACATTCGTGGAGGAATTTGACACACTGCTATTAGTAGCTATGACTCACTAATTCCGTGATTTCCTGGGATACAAAGGAGGCAGAGGGGGTAGTACTGTTTGAACAGAAGTCCTCCCGAGACCCTGGCAAAAAGATCTTCCTTAGGAATCAGCGGCATATGCATTTATGTTCTCTCACAGGAAAGTAAAAGTGAGGACACTTTTTTGAAGCTCATAAATACTCATTTGACTGTAAATTTAGAAATGTTGATTAATTGGGCCTAATGTTTGATCTGGAAAAGTACTTAGCAGTCACCAGGAATTTGCCTTTAGCCAACTTGAACCGTAAATCAGAACCGTATTTCTACAATTTAATTATTCCATGAGACAATCATAAAAACTCTGCTGGGATTATATTACTAAAAACTTTACATCCTATCTAGATTGGATATGTTTGTAGGTGATTAATGTTAATATTTTTTTTAATTAATAAAGCATTTGTTTAGGACCTCTGTATGCTTGAGAAAGTAGAAAATAATACGAAAACGTTATCTTACCCTACAATAACTAAACCTGAACATAATAAGAAAAGCAGAAGAAAATATCATTGAAAACACTGTGCAGAGTTGAAATACAATTTAAACCCTCAATAAACTTAAGCTTCTTTATCAATCAAGATTGTCAGTCAATACTAAAGCTATAAAAATTTAAGGAGTTTTATCTGAGGACCATTTAGAATTATCCCAACTAACAATGTATATAGCATTTGTTGTGAAATCACAATAAATATAAAACATGGTAGCCAATGGCCTTAAAGCTTAAAATGGAACAAGAATAGTTTTCAAAAACGAAATAGCACCGGCCCTTCTTCCCATTTAGAACAATGTATAGAAAGCATATGCCTCGCTGAGAATACTTAGTGAAATTTCTATAACTACAAAAGTAATTAAATGCTTTTAAATTGGAGGAAACACTAAAATTTTTAAAGTCATTAATGCTTGGTAGCTTTTAAGTAAGGATCACACGTGAGTTACAGCTGTAGCTTTTCTTAAACACGTCCTCTTGCCCTAATGACACAAAGTTAGTTTTAAGCAGAGGTTTGCTGGTTGTTGCTTTTGGGCTTTTTTCTTTAATGAAAAGAAACAAAAAAAAGTCACACCAAGGTTAGAAAAATGCATTTCAGCACCTTTGCTCTTTTGTCTTTTATGAGCAATTAGAGTAAACCGTGATCATACTTCCTAAATGAGTTTCTGGGTCTTATTATTAGTACCAAGCTCAAAGGGACGTCCATGTTCCACATGGAAAGTGCTGAATTCCTGAGATGCGTGATTTGTGTGTATATCCATCTGTTGACCAATCATCCCTACGTGTGTCACTAACTGTTGTGAGGCTTCTGTGTTCCTTAGCAGTGCCTCTGGGCCACCAGAGGACGTTTAATTATTGCATGACTTAAAAGATTCAATAGATCAGCCACAGCAAAGAGAAAATTCTAGTTCTGCCATTAGCACTTCCTTTAAATACAACTCTGCTCAAACATGTGCCTTTTATTGCATTCCAAAGTTAATAATTACCAGCTATCATTATTTTGGGTGGTTTCTCTGCCAATTTCTACTGGCATGCTTTCTAGATAGTTGCCTTATAACTATAATTTGACTTTTTTAATCAACAAAAGCATAATTAATGGGAAATTTCCATTCTAAGGTATAATCTAAGACGGTAAATATTCTGCTTCCTTTTCCATATTCTATCATAGAGATGCATTTCTATCAGTCAGGACTTGATATATCCATTTGTTATATATTTTCTTAAGGTGGGAGTCATATCATAGAGATGCGTTTCTATAAATCAGGACTTGGTATATCCATTTGTTACATATTTCTTAAGGTGGAAGTCAAAGTGAAGTTATATAGCGAACAAGACTTATTTGTTTAGTAAATTTGCTGCCCTCTGCTGTTCATGTTTCTTAAACAGATTCGTTTCCTGTAAGAGAAGTTTCTAGCAAAACAAAATACTTCTTGAAAGCAGAAGTTATAATAATCAATTAATAATATCATTCGGTATATAACATTAGAAACTATGAAGTTTAAAAGAGTCAGAGGTTAGTTTTCTGTAGAAGAAATAGTGTATCTCTATAAACAGAAGAAAAATTACTGGAAATTTTCTCTACTGTCAGTTACCCTAAAAATTAGCTCCAGCAAAACCATTTCATGAAATAATTATGCATCTATGATAATCTAAGTAATAACTACAGAAAAATAGCATTTCATTAAGATTAAAATCTTAATGCTGTTGCAACTATTGAATCAAATGCAAATTAAATCAAATTTTTTAATTCAACAGAAACTAGCAAATTGGTTACTAGAATATTTTGTCTCTACCAATTTCACTATTACTTCTGAGGTGTAAACCAAATATAATATTGGCATAAATAAGGAAAAATATCTCAAGATTTCTAGGCATTTTTGCATGTCTAATAGTAGGATGTTCTCTCTGACTTTTAGTTATTACAAAATAACTTTATAACAATAAAGGAAAATAATATTTAAAAGAAAGAAAAAACAGTCTCAATACCAGAACACCACTGTAGTCTTTTGTGTATGTGTGCCTTTCTTTGCTGTGTTCATGCAGAGACAAGCTTTGTGATGCCATTGTAACTCCTGTACAAGTGCATGGTTACATTCTGTTTTTACTGGTTGGTATCTCATCGTAAGCATTTCCCAGAGACATTTCACAGACTTTATGATCACTACATAGTTTGGATAACTTAGACTTTTGCACTGTTTTGTCACGATGCTTCCAACTTTTCTATCGTTGTCTGTAATTGCTGTTATCTTTTATTACACAGTGTTGACACAAAATCACATCACTAAAAACACTGAGTATCATTTATTATTAAGTGTAGATTGTGTGTCATTAGCAAAACTTGTAAATGCAATGAGTCAATAAAACAGTAGAACAATGTCAAAATCATGGCTTTTGTTGGAATATGGAAGATTTTAAGCTCCCAGCACTGAAAAGGTTATATAGCATTTCTTTCACAGCCCAGATGTAGCTACTCAGTGTAAGTCCTTGAGTTTCTTTAAGAACTGTAAGCGGCCGGGCGCGGTGGCTCACGCCTGTAATCCCAGCACTTTGGGAGGCCGAGGCGGGTGGATCACAAGGTCAACAGATCGAGACAATCCTGGTCAACATGGTGAAACCCCGTCTCTACTAAAAATACAAAAAATCAGCTGGGCATGGTGGCGCGTGCCTGTAGTCCCAGCTACTCAGGAGGCTGAGGCAGGAGAATTGCCTGAACCCAGGAGGCGGAGGTTGCGGTGAGCCGAGATCGCGCCATTGCACTCCAGCCTGGGTAACAAGAGCGAAACTCCGTCTCAAAAAAAAAAAAAAAAAAAAAAAGAATTGTAAGCAAATGATGCTGAATTGCTCTGAAGCAGTGAGCACTGCATAGCCTTCCTGGAATATGTCTTGGGAGTCTCGGCTCCTCTCCTAGCCAGAGTGAATGGCTTTTAGGGAACCATACAATTTTTCTTAGAATTTTTTTTCTGACTGAAGATAGTGTGCTCTTCAACTGTACCACATTTAATTAGCGTCATACGATAATTATGAAATAAGTGATAACTTGCATATAGTACTTTAAGCACTTAGATTTCATATAAAATCAGCAGCCTGAATCGATCTAGTCAGGCGTGTACTGTTTGAAAATATTAAGAATATTATTGGGTAACGTAAACACTCTGCATCTGTTTCCTATTACCAAAATAATTGTGTGTATTTTCTCCAACTGTTTATATTAACACTCCTAGTTTTTCCAACTTAAAAGCGACATTCAGAAACCTCTGAAGGGAAGCAAGTCAATTATAGAATTGGCTTTTTCTCTAAATTAGAACATCAAGGAAACCAACATGGGATTTTATCCCAAGTCCCTGCCCTGCCCGGCCTCCAGGGCGCTGGGAAAACCCAGACCCTTTTCTCAGCTCGAAGTAGACAGCGGGGAGGTGAATCTTGGGGATCTTCCTTCAGCTTCCGAGGGACTCCTGGTGGGAGGGCTCCGCAGGGGCCCGGATCGCCCCCCAGGTGCCTGGGTCCCCAGGGACACTCGGCCTGGCCCGGCCTGCCGCAGGCGCAGCGCGCTGCCAGGGTGCCCTCGCGGTTCCGCCCGGAGCCTCCGTCTAATGACCCAGTCTCTGCACCCCTCTTTCTTGCAGCCCCCTCTCCCAACAACTCCGACACCTGTTCCAAGGGAACCTGGCCTGAAGCCTCTTTCTGGCTCTGGACTCGGAGGAGTCGCTGCCAGCCCCTCCCCTCCGCCCCGGAGTGGCGCCCCCACGCCAAGCGCGTGCGCCCCGGCTCTGCCTCCCACCCGGGTGAGCTCCTTCCCTCCTTGCCCTTCTCGGTGCGCGGCAGAGGCTCAGGCGCGGCCCTTGCTTGCTCGGAGCCTGGCGATTCCCACTTCCCCGGGCCTGCTCGCACCCACCCAGGCCCCAGAATCTTCTCGTCCAAGGCCCCTGTAAGCCCCCCAGTGCCCTGCCCCCTCCCCCCGCTCCCCACTCTTCCACCGCTCCCGCACCCTTCCCCCCCCCAGACTCTCCACCGGCTGCACCTGAGGGAACTGTGTGCAGACTGCCGGCTCCCACGCTGGGACTGCGCCCCCGGTGAGGGCAGGGACAGGAAGGGGCTCGCCCCAAAGGGCTGCCTGGTGCCGGGGTTGGGCCTGTGGGCTCGTCAGGCGCGCCAGCCAGCCCCAGCCTAGCTGCGTGGAGAGCGGTCCACACTGCATGCCTCGTGCTTGTTAAGCGGATGGACTCTGTAAGAGCCGTCCACGGCTTAGGCCAACTAGAAACGGTGCGCGAGGAGATCACCAGGGACCCAGTGCCATCGAGCTCACCTTCACATCCTCACTTTACCTCCTCCGCTCCCTGCTGCTGAGGTTCGTGGGGTGAGAGTTGATGCACGTTTGCGTGGGAACGCGCGCGAGTTTTTCATGCCACACCGCGTTTCCCTCCCTTCGCTCAGTGTACGTTTTCCTTCCCTTTTCCTTCACGTCTGCTCTAGACCGATCGCATAAATCCAGATGACATAGATTTAGAAAATGAGCCCTGGTATAAATTCTTTTCAGAACTGGAGTTTGGACGCCCGGTAAGTGAGGCTAGACTATTAATATAAGAAAACTAGGAGAATGTTGTTTGATTTATGAAACACCGTTATCAGGAGACATGGGTGTCATTCAGAGAACAAAGGCTGAACGCGTAATATAGATGCAAATTTCCTACAGCGTAGTGCAGGTTCGTTTCTGTGCCAAATGGTCCAATGTGCTCAGATATTTCCTATATGGTTTCAAATCATTCATTAGGATTTCTTTAGATCTAGTCAATTGAAAGTTCAAAATGTTGAGGCAGTTTCTGTGCTGGAGTATTCAGACAATTAGCACAGCTTTATAGAAGATTTGTATTTGTTTACAGTCTGTTTGGTCTAGTTCAAGCAGAAGAGCACCTTGACACTGACGGGCCTGTTTGCTGAGCAATCGTCGGGCACCTGGAGAGTGCTGGGCTCCGTCTTCATTATCTCCCTGAGTCCTCCTGATGTCCCTCCAATTAGAAGAAAATGGGGACCTGAGGGGTTAAGTAGTTTGCTCAGAATAGCAAATGACAGTGTAAGAAGTTAAACCCAGAGCCTGTCAAAAGAAAAAAAAAAATCTCTGGGCAGTTTTTCCTATAATATACTGCCAGGGTAATCCCACTGTAAAATACAGTCACGTGTTGCTTAACAATGTGGACGGGTTCTGAGGATGTGTCATCAGGTGAACTTGCCATTGTGCAGACAGCGTGCAGTACTTACACAAACCCAGGTGCTAGAGCCTGCTGCACGCCTAGGCTGTGTGGTGTGCCCTGCTGCTCCTGGGCTACGTGTACAGCAGGTTACTGCACTCCGCACTGCAGGCAACTGTAACGCAATGGTAAGTATGTGTGTCCCTAAACATATCTAAACATAGAAAAGGCATGGTAAACACAGCATTGTAATCTTATGGGACCGTCATCATACATGGGGTGCACCATTGACTGAAACGTCCTTATGCTACACGTGACTGTACCCAGTTTACCATTAGGGATAAAAGGAAGGACAAAAATCGGGAAACCCTGTGGATCTTGATTGCCAGACTTACCTGTGAAAGCCATCACACTTCTCTAATCCCCAGACTCCCACCAGAGGAAGCCTTGAGGTTGGGCCTTATTGCTTAGCCTGCTTTGGATAAAGAGTCAAGTCGAGGTTCCGTTAACAACTTCCCTGATTAAGAACTGCATCCACCAACAGCAGTGCATTTGATGTGTGTCGGTTACAAACATTTTTATGGGTTTTAGACTCTTAAATAACATACCAATTATACTGATCGTCGTTTTTTTAGAAATCAGAATATAATCGTTTCTATACCATATGCTGATTTATATATATTTGTATATTGATCATGTATGGTTTACTGGTTGGTGATGGTAGTCCCTTTTGTCCATTAAACTGCAAAGGAGACTTGGTTAGATTCAAGGTCGCTTATTGAACTGAATCAAACATGACTGTAAGCGAATAGAAACCAAACAATTTTTCATAAGGTTTTTATTATCTCATAGGAGGAATGTTTTCTCTCATTTTTTCCTCATTTGTATCTTAGTGTTAACATAAATGTATTTTATTTCAAGGAAAAACATTTTCTAGCTCTATTTTATATGTTTTGTTACTATTGGTTAGAAAGTTTATAAGGACGGCCAGCCATGGTGGCTCACGCCTATAATCCCAGCATTATGGGAGGCCAAGGCAGGAGGATCACTTGAGGTCAGGAGTTCGAGACCAGCCTGGCCAACATGGTAAAACCCCATCTGTACTAAAAATATAAAAATTAGCCGGGCGTGGTGGCATGCTCCTGTAATCCCAGCTACCCAGGAGGCTGAGGTGGGAGAATGGCTTGAACCCAGATGGCGGAGGTTGCAGTGAGCCAAGATTGTACTCCAGCCTGGTGACAGAGTGAGACCCTGTCTCAAAAAAATAAAGTAAAATAAATTTTAAAAAGAAAGTATATAGTGCTATTCCAATTTCTGTCAGCTTTTCCGTAATCATTTTCAGCCACATGTGGAAACTCACCAGCATGCTACCCGCTTTCTCCTTTAATGTTTCTTTAATATACCTTGCATTCCTCTGTGGCCAGAGACTAGGAATGCTAATTAAATTTGACACAATGCGTTTATAAATATGCTAATTGAACACTAGCAAATTTTCCCAGTGCTTGTGTGTTTGCACACGTGGCACACTCCCTCCCAGCTGCCCCGTTTTGCTCCATTCATGTCATTCTGTGTGTGTAGCCGATGCTGTCAGCACTCAATTTCTAACTGTTGTCACCTTTTCCACATGTTCATTCCTTGCTGCCATTGACTGTCCTCCATTCCATCCCTACACTTCTGCTTCTGTGGTGCATCTACACCCAGCCTCCTAAAAAGCCTCTGGACTATGTTCAAGATCATTCTTCTGGTGTTTTCAATGAGGTAAAAACACGTGATTCTCTCTTTCTTAGAGGCTGCAACTGTGATTCTGCGCATCTGTGTTTTACGATTCTCTGTAGTGTGTAAGCTATTTTTGAAAACATCTATCTCTGCATCACTATGTTGCGTCCAATATCATTGCCTGGACATCATGCCAGAGTTGTCGGCTATCTCTGAACTCTGGGTGAAGGATCATTCCCACCGCAACTTCTAGTTATACTGTGCTATGTAGTTCTATGTAGTTCTGGTATTCAGCAGTGTGAAAATAGAAAATCAAAAGTATTATAGTCTTATTGCATATATTAACCACCTGTCTTTATTAGACTGAGTAAAATACTATTAGAAGGCTTCTTAGAACCATTCTCTTATAACGCTTGGAGTGTGGATAATCAGATGCCTATGTCCCACATATTTCTAAAATTTATTTTTATTCTTTCATTTTTCTAAATACAACTTGCAGATTGTATTGTCAATTGAGAATAAGGCTGGCAAATACCTGGAAATTGTATATCACAACTTCTCTCTCTCATACCCATGACAGACATTGCTACTCCTTCTCAACTCTGTAATCCCACCAGCCACTATAACAAATTATCACTGGCATATAAAATCCAATGCTTCTGCAGTCTCTACTAAAGAGCCTATAATAATCAGCTAGTTGAAAAAATTATGGCAGCCAATGTACATTTTTATTTGAATCAAAGAGAGTATGAAATAGGCAAAAATGATCTAGTCAAAAGTGTGTTATCCTACTCTCTAAAGAAAATTAGAAAATTACTTTAAAAAGTAGTTAAATGACTCATTAGAAGACACAAGCAAAAATGGCACTGTTTTGCTAGCCATCAGCTATATAAAAGCATCCTTGCAAGGAATTCTTAGAAGCAACTAGCAAGGGAACAAAGTAGATAAACTGTTTTTTGCACATTAGTTGCTCTGTGGTCTTAAGTGAATACTATAACACAATAAATATCTTATTTTCATTAAAAGTCTCAAATATGTGCAACTGGAAAACAAAACTAGTAGAACATTTATGTTGTAGGAGGTACTACTGACACATAGTGGTGACCACTGGAATTGCAGGCATAGAGTCTCAAGGAAATATGCACATTTCTAGTCTCGATTTGCAATTTCAAATTATTTACCTGTGGTAAGTATCAGAGTGTGTGTTAGAACTGAGAAGTGATCAAAATATTTATATATTAAATAAAAAATAGAGTAACCAGGAACATTCTAGGTGATTGAATTCAGTCATTTCTAAAGGCTTATATTTTATAGCCAGGCAGACAGGCATATAAACTGAAGAAAATCAAGTAAAACAAGGAGTTCTATTCTGTATGTTATGTTACCTTAATATCTGCAGGAAGAGTCTCATTTCAACATATGAACGACCCAAGAATTTATTTTGAAATTCAATGTGGTCAGATATTTTTCTCAGATATTTCTTGTGTGTTTTTAAGATAGTTGGTTCATAGATAACTGAAATGGAATTTAGCGTGCATCATGTCCAACTCACTCATTTTTCAGTTAAAAAAAGTAGACTACAATAATTTTAAGAAATAAGTCCAAAATCACATGGTAAGATAGTGGTGGGAAAAAAATCTCTTAACCTTCATTTCAGTGCTATTTCTTTTATATCACAATTGTTAACTATTGAATTTCTGTGAAATGAGTTCTGATAATTAATATTACAGAATAATTCTTAGGCATAAAAATAGTAGGAACTTAATTCTATGCATTCTATAATGTGATGGTAGTGGCAAAAAACACATAAAAAGCATTTTGCCAGTAGTTGATCTACTTGCCAATTATCTCTGGGATTGGGAAGGAGGTGTTGTATGATTCTAACAGCATATGTTAACTATATTATTAATTTCACATTATGGTTTTTCAGAATGTAAGAAAATATATTCTCTTAAGGTATCTGGATTTTGTCTTTAATCTTTTGTTATTAAACATTTCTGATTAAAAAAAACTGTAATTGATTTGACATTACCTTAGCTACCATTTATCAACTACCTTGAATATACCATGAATAACATAGTTTTTAATCCATAACCAGAAAATTAGCATTAATGAAGAACAGTTAAGGACATTTAAGAAAATTTAATCTCATAGTTACTTACCAGAAAGAGTGATTCAGTATCTGTACTTCATTAAATTGACCTTCTAAGTGTATTAAAATAATGATAATATGTAAATATTCAGAAGCTCATAATTGGTAAAATTTGTAACCTCTTTTCTGGAGATAATTTTCATTTTGGGATGAGTACCCTTCTTGTAATTGTTGTACAAGTTTTTCTCTTAGTCATCAATCTAGACTTTTTACTGTTATAAATTAATACTGAACTTTCTCTGAGTTGTACATGAAACCACAAAAATGGTGTGAGTTTATTTTGGATATAGAAACCAGTACAAGGAGAAATAGTAGTTTCTTAGCCTAACTCTAAAACACAATCTGTTCTTACACTATGTTTCATTTTACATTACAATATTGTTTGGGCTCATTATAAGTTGACAATTCAAATTTTCTGATCACTATAGGGGTGATCTAAGAGTGTTTTGAACTTGACACTTTTTGGTGATCAGCTGTGTGTTCGGGTGTCCCATGAAAGCCATGATCTGCACAGACCGCAATGTTCTTAGGCTCTCTGGTGTTGCTCTTCTGCAAACAAGTAGAATTAATATTTCTTAATTGTAATATAACTATCTGATTTTATTTTTTTACTTGTTTGCTTTCTTTCATATTTAGTATCTATTTTTCTACCTTCCCAATGTCTGATTCAGAGCTCAGCAAATTAAAATAATCCTGTATACTTATCAGACTAGCAAACCAAATTTTTCTCCTAATTTTATATTTGTTGGGAACCTAGGAATCTAAAATTTTCTAGGAACTAAAAATATTAGAATCTGCTTTTTCTGTCTAAAAGGAGGGTGGGGAATATTCTTACTCAGAGATGTTTTTTTTTCTAGGCAAGATTCCATTTTCATTTAGTAAGGTAGAATTAAATTATTAGTTAATAGAAGCATAAGTTCTACAAAAGGGACCTTGTAAGACTGATACACATAAAGAATTGCAAAATTGGATACTAATGTTTTAATTGATCATTTGGTGGTAATTTACAGATTAATAGAAAACTGAGTTATATAAATTGTTTGTAAAGTGAGATTTAATTTCCACTAAGTAGATTTTTAATACTCTGATAATTTGTTTCTAGATGATAGCAACTTAAGACAACATTTGTCAAATCTTGCCTTTCTGGCTGACGTTTTTAAGCTTTCATACAGACAAATGTTTTTAAACTAGAACTCCAATTCCTTATCTAACCAAAGTTTATCTGTGATGAATTGATCATCAAATATGACCAAAGCCAAAACTCTCCCTGTACTTTCTTTCTTTATTCTTTCTTTTTCTTTTTTTTTTTTTTTTTTTTTTTTTTTCGAAACTGGGGTTTTACTCTCATTGCCCAGGCTAAAGTGCAATGGCGCAATCTGGACTCACTGCAACCTCCACCTCCAGGATTCAAGCGACTCTCTTGCCTCAGCCTCCCAAGTAGCTGGGATTACAGGGATGCATCACCATCCCTGGCTAATTTTTTGTATTTAGTAGAGACTGGGTTTCACCATGTTGGTCAGGCTGGTCTTGAACTCCTGACCACAGGTGATCCACCAGCCTTGGCTTCCCAAAGTGCTGGGATTAGAGGTGTGAGACTCCATGCCCGGCCATCTCCCTATACTTTCTGGACATCATTCCACAGTGTCACCTCAAACACTTGGTAGCCTAGTGTCCTCTCTTGCCTTTCAGATGTTTTAGCAATTCTCTCAGTAGATGCCATGGAAAATGAAAAATTCATATTATCCTTTTTGCTTACTATTTCAGTGTATTATTCAGAATGAAGGAAAATTTTTAAAGTCCACTTTTGAAGTTATATTTTGATTCATTAGCTCATTTATTTTAAACTCACCCTGAAGTCACCTAATTGTAAAGGCATAAATATTTACCTGATTGAAATGCCAAGTACTTTAGTTTCTTCACGTCAAATTCTTTGGGTTTTATTTAAATTTCATGTCTATATTGACAAATGAATGACATCATAAGTTCTGTTTACATGTTATGTGTTAAAGACAATACTTAGTAACAACAATCACAAAACTTTAAAATGTGTTGTTTTATAAGGATTGAATGATACCTGCAAACTTTTTTAAACCTCAAACCCGTCCTTCATGAAGGACATTTCTATTTACAATGAATAGGTAAGGTTCTGAAGTTGAGGTTGTAGAATAACTTTAGCTCTCATTTCAGTATTCCAGAATTTCCCCCTATGCAATGCTTGGGTTGTGGGTAATTTGAGCTACACAGAGAAAGGCAATGCATTATATCAGAAGAGAAAGCAAATAGGTCCAAAGTGAAATCAGGTTACATCGTATCTCTTTGGGAAGACATTTGTATAGCCATAATGAATGTTACTTTAGACCTTGATTTTTATAATATTCTTTTTAGGATACCTAATTTAATGTTGACAAGTGAACAAAATCTGGCCACGGTGAAATTTTTCATGAGACTATTATCCTGTCTTAACAGGCCTCCTTGTATCAGTCCTCCATAGACAGAAGCCTGGAAAGACCCATGAGGTAAGAATCTCATTATGTTGTAGCAGGATATTCTATACCAGTGGTTTCTTTTCAACAATAAAATGATTCAGTGAAGCTGCAATGAGTATTACGTATCACTCATTTTCATTTGAATGCCATGCCTCATGAAGTCGTTTTATTTTGCTTCTGCATCTGTGATGCAGATATGATCATTTCAAGAATTTCTAAAAAATTAGTGAACTAATTATAAATTCCTTCCCAGACAGAAATCCTTCTCTTCCCTCACCTCCCTGTACCCAGTTTCCTTTTCTTTAGATGGGAATTATAAGTAACTAATTTTCAATGTTGTAAAGTATTATAATTGTAAAATTATAATAATATATTTGAAAAAAATATATAGATGAAAGAGTGTTATACACATATTTGTTAGTTACACTCTGACCACACAAATCAGAAATGCTTTTATTAATACTCCCCGTACATGAGGGTTCACCACATGCCAGGCATAAGTACAAAACATATTCAGTCCTAAGACAATACTATAGTTAAATACGGTTGTCCCCGCTTTATTTCTGAGGAAAGTGACACCTAGGCTCAGTAACTTACCACGTTTACACAGTTGGCAAGGAGAGAGAAAAAAGCAAAATTGAGGCAAGATAGCTTGTACCCGCTAGGCCTAACTTCCCTCAGAGTCCGCTTGAGGTCAGTTCTGTTAGCTTTAAATATCACAGTTACTTTAAAATATTACGAAATTCAGACATCGTTCAATAGCAATATTGAATAATACAAACTCCCAGCCATATTGTACCATCAATAACAAATATTTCTGTAGTAGCATTAATGTACCCACCTATGTAGATTTCCTTGCGAATCGGGTCCCTCGTCAACTGGGTTTCTGATGCCATCCAACGACAGTAACAACCCTGAGAAAGGAGCCCTCAAACCCCTTCTTTTTATCTGTGCTCCTATCTGTGCACCTAAAACACTTGAATTTTAGAGTTTTAATCTGATCTAAAGATTGCCGTAAAGACACACAGACCCTCACATGACAGGACGGTCACAGCAAATACAGGTCTAGGAGATGCAGCATCCTCCCCGGAGAGGACGAACCAGTTCTGAGGTCCGCCCCTCCGCTTCCGTACATCCCAGACCGTGTGTTCACTTCACCATTTGTAAAACTGAGACAACAGCACATACCTCAAAGGTTTGCTGTGTGGGCTAAAAAGACAAAAACGTAAGTAAAGCACATAGCATTCTGCTGGGCCCCAGAGGAGCTGGGGTTGCCGCGGTGGCTGTCATCACTGTCGCCTACACAGTTCTTGTCGAAGAATCTGGTGATTTCACGCACACTACGCTGTGTCATATGTGGCTCCATTCACTAATGTTTGTGTTTGATGATACTATACTCAAACTCAAAACCAGGACAGACATTCCCTGCCTTCTAGACTAGTTTATGCAACTGGGGGAAGGAATCTTTAATAGTTAATTTGCTGACCAGATTACTGGTACTGATGATTGATTGATTGACTGACGAGACAGGGCTTGCTCTGTTGCCCAAGCTGGAGTGCCGTGGTGCAATCAGGGCTCACTGCAGCCTCGAACTCCTGGGCTCAAGCCATCCTCCCACCTGAGCCTCCTCATAGCCAGGACTAGGACTACAGGCGCGTGGCACTACTGGCTAATGTTTTTATTTTCTGTAGAGATAGGGTCTCACTAGGTTACCCAGGCTGGTCTCAAGCTCCTAACCTTGAGCCATCCTCCAGCCTTGGCCTCCCAAAGTACTTGATTACAGACATGAGCTATCATGTCCAGCCTTCATTCATTATTTAAATGGAAAATGTTGGAATTCCCATATAAGGTCTTCTAAAGCTAAGATGATAGGACAAGCTGCAGGCAACCCTTGAGGTGAGAGAAGTTTGCCTCTCCTGATGTCTTTTTTTTTTTTTTTCAGCTCTTTCCTGGATTTGATATGCTCCTCTGAATATATTCATGTTGTTAGAACTCTGCTTTATAGAGAAAAGATACAGGCTAAAAATTATAACACTGAATTCTCAATCACAACATATTACACTATAGGAGAATGTTGACTTTCAAAGATGTTTAAAAACATGTTCACACAAAAACCAGCAGGGGGTTTTTGGGGCAGCATTATTTATAATTGCTAGAACTTGAAAGCAACCAAGATGTCCTTCAATAGGTGAATGGTTAAATTGTGGCGCATCCATGTAATAGAATGTGACTCGGCAATAAAACAAAATCTGCTACTGAGTGACAAAAATACGTGGAAGAACCTTAAAAGTATATTACTGAGTGAAGGCATCCAATCTGAGAGGCCACATTCTGCATGGTATCAACTGGGCGTGGTGAAAAGGCAACACTGTGGAGGCCGTGGAGGGATCAGTGGCGGCCAGGATGGGCGGGAGGCGGGCGGGAGGAGAAGCCAGAGAACAGAGGCTTTTCACGGTAGTAAAAATTTTATATGATTGACGCATTAATGATGGACACACATCATTATACATTTCTCAAAACCTATAAAATGTTTAAAACGAAACGTGAACTCGAATGCAAATTACAGACTTGGGATGAGGATGTGTCAAGGTAGATGCATCAGTTGTAACCATGTACCCCACTAATAGAATATGTAAATGATAAGGGACACTGTGCAAGAAGGAAGGACTATAAGGAAACTCTCTACACTTTCCAATCAACATTTCTGCAAGCCTTAAACGTCTCTAAAAAAACTAAGTCGGCTGGGCACAATGTCTCACGCCTGCAATCCCAACACATCAGGAGACTGAGGATGAATCACTTGAGCTCAGGAGTTTGAAACTAGACTGGGCAACATAGTGAGACTGTCTCTATATAAACAAAAATTTTAAAAAATAGCCGGGCATGGTGGTACACACCTGTGGTCCCAGCTACTCAGGAGGTTGAGACAGGAGTATCCCTTGAGCCCAGCAGTTTGGAGCTGCAGTGAGCTGTGATTGCACCTGGGTGATGGAGCCAGAAGCCATCTCAAAATAAATAATAAAGCCTATTGATTTTTTAAAAGATCCTTCTAGAGAAATCATGTTGAATGTCAAGGGATGAGTTCCTAGCAATGCGGTTTTGCGGGTAGAGGTTGAAGAGTTATGCCATTGTCACTGGCACATGCCACTGGTTTTTCTGGTGCACACCTTACCCTTCTCCACTGGCAATCAAACAGCTGCTGCTTCCTTCTTTCAGTTCTGCAAGCACGGCCAGTGACTTCAGGAAACGGAGGAAGAGCGAGCCTGCAGTGGGTCCACCACGGGGCCTGGGAGATCAAAACGCGAGCAGGACCAGCCCTGGCCGAGCGGACCTCCCCGGATCAAGCACTACCCTTACAAAGTCTTTCACTAGTTCTTCGCCTTCTTCCCCATCGAGAGCAAAAGGTGAGCAATAGTAAATGAAAACGCAACGATTTACTAGTTTACGTTTTAGCCTAGAGCACTGCGTGAAAGCTGGCCCAGTGATAGCGGCATGGGCCAGCTCCCATCTACAGTGTCTGGAGTAAAACATAGTTTTAGAACAGTAGCTTTCTTCCCACCCAGGCTGACTCAAGTTGGCGAGCCACTTAGGTTGCTTAAAGAACTCTGACTAGCATCTGCTAATCCTTCTTTTCCCCAAATAGATCACTTTTTAAACAAATTGAAACTATCGAACAGTGTATCATCAGGCTATTAAGAGATGTCATTGTAAAACACTGACATATAGTCCAAATTTTCTAATGTTTCTACAACTAACAGATTAGTCAGATTTATAGGATAGAAATTATAAGCAGCAAGAGAGAAAATTGTTGCCTAAAATATACATTGGTTTGGAAGGTTTTTTTTTAATTATTCAATTCTAGATTTTTTAAAAAAAGAATTCCAGCCTATTCATTTATTTAGCCATTTGCTGTATATTTTGAGCCACCTTCATAGGAAGAGTGGGGCATCCATGTCCTGTCATGCAGCACAGTGATCAGTTCACAGCAGTTCACAGTCAGGACTCACTGGTCCCAAGCCATAATTATAAAGTTCAGGAATCTCCAAGCCTTTTTTCTAAACGATCTGTCTCCTCTCTGCAAATGTGGGGTCACTGTTGAAAGGAGTAAGTCACTCCTTCACGTTTCTGGAAGACCATTTAGAGGCCTTCCTTGAGGACAGGAATTTTGCCGAGATGGAGAGTGAGGATTGAACCAGCACCCACAGGGACCTGGTTAGGGCTTTACCAAATTTGGGACCCCACAATCTCCTCTAATATCTTGGGGTTGAAACAGAAGAGAAAGGGATTTTGAAATGTGTGAAGAAATTGAACTCTAACATAGGTTTCCATAAAACCAGACCGATTCGGCTACGCATATCAACTATAGGCACTAAAACCAGTGCCACACAGTAGTTAAAAGAGGTAGCTGATTTGTGTGCAAAAGATATTCTGGTCGTGATGCTTGGACTCTGAGTAGGTGGAGGCCTAGCCCTTTTAAGGCCTGGTAAAGCTGTATCAGCTGATGGGTCAGAGTATGTGAGCCCCATCCGTCACACCCTTCCTCTGAGGAGCAGAGATGCCTTATCAGATTCAACTCAGATATTCAAATGAATGTCTTAAGGTAACAAGTAGGTCATGAAATGCCAGTGACTCATTATTCTTGGATACTACCCAAAAGTTAAAAGGATTCTGATAAATTTAGATGTTTGTTTTATCACAGGGAGTGTTAAATCAACTTCCTTTCCCAGACACTACATATCTACTTAGTGTGCTTCTCTGCATTTAAAGAATTTAGGGACCATCGTAAGGTATGAGTATGGAATAGAGACATTTTCCTCCATTAGATTTTATTTCTAAGAAGAAAATATCCTGTTAGATATAATTTGGCTTCTCATTTATTAGTTAACTCAGCAAATCAAAAGAACATTTCCATAGCTATTCAAAATTGAGGCCAAATGTGGATCTCTATTATCAAATTGCAATCAAATTGTAAATGATTTTTTTAAAAAACTCTTCCCCCACAAAAAAGCATGATATATGTACCTCTGAAGAAAGTTTTGCATTATATTCAGTTTTCCCATGAGAACTGTGTACCTAATAAGAGGTTAAAAGCAGAGTAATTAAAGAGGTAAATTAGTTTGTTTAAAGAGCCTAAGCTATTTTTTTCTTGGAAAAGGATTAGCAGCAATAGTTCACAGCATTTTGATTTTGCAATTTTGGAGAATACTTTGCCTTATAGCTTTTAAAATCCAAAATTTATAAAAAATTATTTGATATAGTTATGAGAGTATTAACTAAATGTAAATGTATAAACCTCTCTTTACCTATGTATCATTATGAATCAAATGAGAGTCAAATTCTGGACCTATTAAATTCATTAAGTGTATAACCTTTTTGACTCTGATGGTTAAACCTTTAAATTACTACCAGATCATGCTATTAGCTGAAAAGGTTCTATTATGTTTTTGGCAAACAATATTATCAGAAAGATGTATGAATTATGCAAAAGAAGTAGGCGTATTTGCTACAACAGTTACTTCTTATACATGATTTTGTCAGCTGTCTCCGGAAAGCTACGTTCATTGAAAAAGTATCAGCTCGCTTTAGAATTAGATCTTTTTCTCTAGCGTTGAAGCTACATGTATTAACAATCGGCCTCTAGATTAAAACACACTAACTGCTTTCTCCTTGCTGTGCTGTCTGATGCTTACTGACATGCTCTCCTCTCTTTGTGAACCTTTTAACTTCTCCAAATGTCTCTCTTCTACCACGCTGCTCTGGATTAAAAGGTGGGGATGATAGCAAAATGTGTCCATCCCTTTGCAGTTACTCAGGGCTCAACGGCAACCCCCCAAGTGAGTTAGATTACTGTAGCACTTATAGACAGCACTTGGACGTCCCTCGGGACTCACCAAGGGCCATTACTTTCAAGAATGGCTGGCAAATGGCCCGGCAAAATGCAGAAATCTGGAGCAGCACGGAAGAAACCGTTTCTCCCAAAATCAAATCCCGTAGCTGTGACGATCTCCTAAATGATGACTGCGATAGCTTCCCGGACCCGAAAATTAAGTCGGAAAGCATGGGCTCCCTCTTATGTGACGAGGACTCCAAGGAGAGCTGCGCCATCACCTGGGGGTCCCCCTACATCCAGGAGGTTCGCGGTAACGGCAGATCGAGGATCAGACACCGGTCAGCCCACAACGCCCCGGGGTTCCTGAAAATGTACAAGAAAATGCACCGCATTAACCGCAAGGATCTGATGAATTCCGAGGTGATCTGCTCCGTGAAGTCCAGGATCCTGCAGTATGAGAACGAGCAGCAGCCCAAGGGCCTGGGGCACGCGTGGAGCCAGTCCTCCACGGAGGAGGTGCCCCGCGACATGGTGCCCACGCGCATTTCCGAATTCGAAAAGCTGATTCAGAAGTCCAAATCCATGCCCAACTTAGGGGATGACACGCTCTCTCCCGTGACCCTGGAACCGCCACAGAACGGCTTATGTCCCAAGAGGCGATTCTCCATCGAGTATTTGCTGGAGGACGAGGACGAAGGCGGGCGCCCCGCTCAGGCCCCGCGGGGCTGCGCGTCCAGCGCACTGGTGCCCATTCACATCGAGGTCACCAGCCACGAGCAGCCCCGGGCCCACGTGGAGTTTTCCGACAGCGACCAGGACGGGGTCGTGTCTGACCACAGCGACTACATTCACGTGGAGGGGTCATCGTTCTGCAGCGAGAGCGACTTCGATCACTTTTCCTTCACCTCCTCTGAAAGCTTCTACGGATCCAGCCATCACCACCACCACCACCACCACCACCACCGGCACCTCATCAGCTCCTGCAAGGGCAGGTGCCCGGCCTCCTACACCCGATTTACCACGATGCTGAAACACGAAAGGGCCAGACACGAAAACACGGAGGAGCCCCGCAGGCCGGAGATGGACCCCGGCCTTTCCAAGCTCGCCTTTCTGGTCAGCCCGGTGCCTTTCCGGAGGAAAAGAAACGCAGCTCCTAAGAAACAGACGGAAAAGGCGCCGTGCAAGGCGTCCGTGATCGAGGCGCTCGACTGCGCCCTGAAAGACATCTGTGACCAGATCAAGGCGGAGAAGACGCGGGGGAGCCTGCCGGGCAACAGCATCCTGCACCGCCTCATCAGCGAGCTGCTGCCGGACGTGCCCGAGCGGAACTCGTCCCTGGGCGCGCTGAGGAGGGGCCCCCTGCACCTGCCTCTCCGCCCGCCGCCCCAGGACGGTGCTATCCACTGCCCACCCTACCACAGCGATGGCGGGAGAACGCCTCACAGTGCCTCTTTCCAGGACGCGGACACAGCCAGCAGCAACCACCACCACCAAGACCGTGGCGGTGCACTCCAAGGTGGATGAGCTTTTCTTTCTTTTTCCTTGGGGTTCAGAGACCCGCCCTCCAGCTCTTTCATTTTCCATTCCAACATCTCATCATTCCCGAGCTGGGAGACCATTTGGCATCGTTATGTGTTGTGAAGCAGAAACTTGTGCAAACGTGTGAATATGTCTCATTTGCCCACGTGCTCGTCGGGCTTCATGTGTGGCTTAAAGTGATCATCAGTTCACAAAAATTTACCCTCAAAAGCGAGAGGGAAGGCCACTTCGTAGCCTAGTATTAGGGTTGGAACAACCGTTACTCACACTGAGACAACAAATTATGTTGTAACGTGAATCAAAACATATAGTTTCACAAATAGCCCTTTTAGAATTTTCATATTGACTTTAAAACTTTATATTCATTAATTAATAAATAATTGGCTCACATTCTCTATAGAAGATACTATATCAAAACATTCAAGAAGCAAAACTGAAATATGATTAGTAATTGATGGACACAAAGACGCTAGGGCTTGTTTAATAGCTTTCTCCATTTCGAGGACACAATTGCGATAAAATTTTTGTGAATGTGTCTTTAAGCTGTATATATATAAAAGTCCCATTTTCACCATTTAGTGTATTCATTTTCTCTTTTCCATTACTTAATTCATTCACTTTCTATTTCTACTAAAACAATCCTGTATTGAAATACGAATTAGACTATTCAGGCTAAAAGTGACTCTCAACTCTGTTTTCATAGATAACTTTGAAATGGTAACCCAAGAATAAACAGCAGTGAACATGTAGAGGACTATTTTGGAGATTTATGTAACTTATCAGGGTGTTCTAATATTTTTACCCAATTTTTTTCACTAATTCTTAGAGCGCATCTGTTCACTATGTAAATTTTAAGAGGCTGAAATGAACATTCCAGGCTGAAACTAGGACCATTTTTAACTTTGGAAGTTGGGCCTGGAGAGGATAAGAAATGTGTCCAAGGTCACGCAAACAGTAGGTAACAGAAAAGGGATTGAAATCCCTAATACTTCAGAAGTTATAGAATAAAATATAATCTCAGACAAAATAAGATGAATTCAAAGTTCAGATTACTGTCAAACATGGCTCAATTGTTCATTAACTTGCACAAATCTACTTAGTATTTATCTGTTTTCACTTATGCTATACTATACACTTATATTTATCTTTGCTTACAGTTAGAATGAAGCAACATGCTTCAAAATAATAAATTAGAATTTAAAAAATCAGTTTCTACAATTGAAAACTTTCACTAATTGAAATGTGTCAGAATCCAATTTTTTAATAAATTAGCTACCTTCTCCAGTTTTTCAATATCTCAATATAATCATCTCTCACTTTTATGTGCAGATGAGTACAATTTTTGAAACATGACTTCAAAGGGCTTTGAAATGCATTTAAAAGTATTTTACTTTTCAATAAAATATTTATTTTTCAATTGTATTTCACCCAAGTGAAAAATAGTTTGTATTTCATGGGTTAGAAAAAGTAACTTAAAATTTATGACCTTTATGAGGCCCTATGATTATAAAAATGTATTCACTTAGAACAAAAAACATACTGTACATAATCTTCTGGCATGAATGAAAACAACTGGTTAAGTTTTACCAGAAACATTTGTGCCACGTTACCTTCCTAAAACTAAAGACTTTGTAATTCACAACTCACAGAGAGTTAGACATTTACCCTTATATTTCACGCAACTGACACCCCACTTGTAATTCTTTTATATCATCAATACAGTCAAAACCCTAAAACGATGTTTTCTTATTATGAATCAGTACTTTAAATTCTTTCATAGATGGATAAAATACATTTTATTTTTAATGATTCTTGTTAGGATAACTAGATTTCTTAAAGGGATTTTAAAAATTGACAAACATTGACCCAGTTATACTGAGAAAATTCTTTAACATGGACTGCTGGAATACCTTTAATATCTAGTTACAGTTCCATATATAAGTTACATAAGTGCAAAAGGTATGAGATACTATTAAGAACTACATGCAATTATAATTTTGTAATGTGATTACGCTTTGCTTTAAGATAAACAAAAATAATTCGATATTTCATAAGCAAATTGGCAGTTGACATGATGCTATCTGTTTATCCCTTTTTTTCTTGGAGTAAGAGGAAATAATATCCCTTTGTTTCTTTACTTTCTGATAAGGTGTTTATCATCTGGGCACAAAGGAAGGCCGTAGATAAAGAGTATGGCATCTTAAGATTCAATAAGGGTTTAAAAAGAGAGAGAGAAGAGGGGAGAGTAACAGGACAGGAGAATGTTCATGACCACACTCCCTCGTCCTCATGCTTTCTTTGGTTTTATCTCTTTCTTTTTCATCACTGCAGTCTTAAATTGTTCCACAAAATGTTCCTTTTTCTACACATTGTTGCTATTTTCAAATTCTCCATCCTCTATAAACCTTACAATAGTAATTATAAATTAGAGGCAAAGGTACAGAAACAGAAAGTTTTGAAAAATTTTTATATCAAAAATCCCTCTAACTATAAATTGCCTATACTGAGCATGGCAATAGAATTAATCAGCAATGTAGCAATTTTATTCAGATAAAATTTTATTCAATTATAATACTTCTGCAACCTCATATATTTTTCCTTTTGAAATGCTCTTGTTTTGTGTCTTATTTCACAATTTTATAACGACCTATGAGTTTTATACCCATGTGTTTGATAATGGTGTCTCTCCAAACGTGGGAAAAAAATAGTTGCCACCAGGGAAAATGGCGGAACAGGTTGGCTTGTAATTAAGTGGATACTCACCATGACTGGCTCTGTTCTTTCCCATAGACCGCGAGTCCCCTAGAAGTTACTCATCCACTTTGACTGACATGGGGAGAAGTGCACCAAGGGAAAGAAGAGGAACTCCAGAAAAAGAGGTAGTTAATTTAGTAGCATTGGAGTCTTTTACAGCAACACACTTGATGCAGCAACTTGCCAGCCAGAAATTATCCCCAAGCAGTAAAGAACTCAGACAGAAAATGTGAAAATACTGAGAAACTAGAAACAATGTCCTTGAAGCCCGAGCATAGCAACTCTGACCCTAGAAGCAGTCCACACCCTGACCCTAGCTTGGGGTCTTCCCTAGCGGTGGTCGAGTTTTGGCCATGAGACCTCTCATAGTCTTGACCTGATGTCCTTGAACTTAACCGTCGTGACCTAACAGTGTCTTGAGTTAGGGCACCTCATGGAGGGAAGAGGTTTCCTCTGTACAATTTCTTGTCGCACTGGTCTAAGAGAAAGCCTGATGTCAACTGTGTTGCAAATCAATCCAGAGCCTACATAAATAATTTGTGCTGGCTTACTTTTGTTGTAGAAGATTCCTGGAAAAAGCTATTAACCAACCCAATTCTCAGGACACTGCCCCTGGGAAACACTCGCCAACTGACTCTTTGTCCAGGGCCCTGAGATGGAGCTGCAGCTCTTGCTCAAACTGCCTTGGGTCAGCACTTTTCAGGGTTGGATAGAAACTAAAAGCTGGACATGGACTGGCAGCCACTCCAGAAGGATCTTACAGGTGTCCGATGTAGTCCAGTGCCTGAGGGACCCCCAGAGAAGTTAGAAAGGGTCTAGGATCCCTAACGTTCACCAGAGTCATGGGGAAAGAGAATGCAGTGAAGGGATTGTTGGTTGGTGGGGAAGGAAGAGCTGGTCTAGCTAGCTATAGGGTACAGCGTGCATCGGGGAGATTCATGGGCCCCAAAGGTTGAGGATGGGCATGTGTCACATCACATCACAACTAAAAGATGAGTGACAGGTTGACCTTGACAGAGTGTTGAAGGATGCCCGAACCCTCCAGGGAATGCAAGATGATCACACCTATACTTTTGCCTGCTAACCAGCCTCCCAGTGATAATTGAGCTAATATTTTTTGCTAATATGTTAATACGTGTCTAATGAAGGCAATGATGACTTCCTTTATGACATCTGATCCTTTTATTATGATTCAGAAGGAGTTGTGTCAATCTCCATAGAACATAGAGCCATTGACCCTTTACATTTATCCCAGGAGAAGCCTTTGTAACAGCCAAAATGATGCCTAGGATGCAATCTCTGCAGGCATTTTATTCTCTCATTATGACATTAATCTATCTTAGTTCCTAAGATAAAATATGATGCTGAATAAGCCATCTATTATATTCCTGTTATAGCTTAAATATCTCAATGAAGAATGAATGGATTTATTTATAAATTGTATATAGCATTTACATCACATATGTTTAATCATTCCTTGAGGTTTCCTTTTTCTTTAAGGCACATGAAACTAGAAAGGCACATGAAAGTAGAAAAATTTTCTACTATCCTGTAGAAAATTCGAATTTTAAATTAGTATTAATTGTTTATCTTCCTTTTTAGAAATTGCCTGCAAAAGCTGTTTATGATTTTAAGGCTCAGACATCTAAGTAAGTAAGATAAATATTCATCATATGATGTGAGGTGGTTTTAAATATGTTAATAATAGTTTAAGAGATAAACATTGCAATGGGATGTGTTCAAATGAGGTCTAATTCCCAATGCGGCAATTACTCTCATTAAATGCTTCCTTCAGAATTACTTGGGATGGGGTAATTTTATTTTCATTTTAAGTTTAGTTGAGAACTACTGAGTTTTCAATTATATTAAACATGTTAGGTAGAACACAATGAGTTCTAATGGATAGGAAAAACAAAAAGAAATTAAGAATATTTGTTTTTAGAATGTTTGTGTCAATAATGAATTAATAAAGTATTGAGAGCCAGGTACAGTGCCTCATGACTGTAATCCCAGCACTTTGGGAGGCCACGGTAGTGGATTGCTTGAGCCCAGGAGTTCAAAACCAGCCTGGGCAACATGGCAAAACCACATCTCTACAAAAAAATACAAAAATTAGCCAGCCATGGGGATGTGCTCCTCTTTAGTCCCAGCTATCAGGAGGCTGAGCCGAGAGGATTGCTTGAGCCTGGGAGGTAGTTGTTGCCGGAAGCTGAGATGGCACCACTGCACTCTAGCCTGGCAACAGAGCAGGACTCTGTCTCAGAAAAAGAATGAATTAATAAATAAATAAAGTATTGGGGAGTAGTTAATACTAGCTGGGGGAATTTGATAACATGTATTTATCGAAACATCCCAAGCATAGTTTGTGGGTTGATGACAAGAACTTAGCCCAAAGATTTCTATATTGAAGTCTCCATCCTCAGCCTGCAAACTTCAGAGATTCTGAGCAAAGTTTCCTCCTGTGGTCTTTGGGTGTTGGTGTTTTCACACTCCTGAATTGCAATATTTCTTTTGCCTTTATTCTTTGTTCATCAGTAAGCATGTGGTTGAGAAAGCACATGAATAAACTTAAATAAGAGGGAGTTGCCCAGCATTTTTGTGGCCATGGGCACGGAACTTTAAGACACTTTGGTCTCCAGTAGAATTCAAGACAGATATTGAATTCATCGTAAATTGTCATTAAATTATTATATGTTGTTTACACTGAATATATATAATAACCAAAATAATTTATTCATAAAAATGCAAATAATATGAATTCATAGTTCCAGAAACTGTCTCTGGCAGAAGACATATAAAAATAAATCACTCAGAATTTGGTAATGAAATAGATAAGAAAAATCCTATTTAGAAATTAAGATGTCAAACATGGCTTAAATCTGGCCTGAAGAAAAACTTACATCTATTTTTCAGATTAGAGAAATAAGATGCTTTCCTTCTACTGCACTCTGGTCCTAACTACTGTCCTTTGGATATGGTGTGACAATTTGTACAATGCCTGTCAGTTTTATAAAATAATGTTTAGAGCACACATTTCATTTCCTCTTTGTAAAAATCAACCTATAGCTTTCTTAAATAAATAAAACCCTGAGGAATGGCAGGGGACATGAAGTAGGAAGGGTGTCCACCCAAGGCACACAATGTCTTCTGAGAAGTCTTAATAAAAAACAAGCCGCCAGGCATGGTGGCTTACGCCTGTAATCGCAGCACTTTGGAAGGCCAAGGCAGGCTAATCGCTTGAGGTCAGGAGTTCGAGACCAGCCTGGCCAACATGGTGAAACCCCATCTCTACTAAAAATATAAAAATTAGCTGGGCATGGTGGCGCATGCCTGTAATCCCAGCTATTCGGGAGGCTGAATCGGAGAATCACTTGAACCTGGGAGACGGAGGTTCTCATGAGCCAAGATCGCACCACGGCACTCCAGCCTGGGGACAGAGAAAGACTCTGTCTCAATCAATCCATCAATCAATAAAGGGAAAAAAACAAATGGGACTTTAAAATGCTAGATCTGAGATGAGAAGGACACAGTTTTGAAAACTTAAGAGTTTCAGCAACAGCTACCTCCCTGTGTCTTAATGACTTCAAAATTGTAAATACAAAAGAGTTCTTTACATAATTTAAAAAACTTGATTGCCTGTAATTCATATGTACAGATGTATTTTTAAAAGCTAGTCTCATTTCCAGAAGCAAAACATATCTGGTACAAATAAAACTGTTGTGTTGTGAACATTAAATATCTTATTTTGCTCTGTTTTCTGTTTTTCACATTAGGCGTTTGCACAAAAGAAGGAAGCACTGTATTTGAATGTAAAATTCTGTGAATCTATTTTGTCTTTAGGGTTACTGAAAATTTAACACATTTTCAATTGTGGAGATTTTAGCACTTCTAAATGTGTGATCATTCTTTTACTATGCCACCATTTTTTCAATTAATTTTTTTATTCAATGAGAAGTGTTCTCCATCAGGTATAAATCTCTCTCCCTCATACGGTCTATACTAATAAATGATCCAACTAAAAATTCTGAACCAAAATTTATTTTTAAAAAATTTTAAAAATGAAAATTCTGAATGAAACAATGCAGAAGATTCCAGAGTGGGAAGGCAGAAGTGTTGCAAAGTGTGATGCTCTTAGAGAAGATACAAATTAATTGCCCTCCATCCAAGAATAATTGTGGAAGCAAAATAATGAACCAATGTAATCATCTGGATAATTAAGCCAGGAAAAATTGGTGTAGTGAAGGTGATAAGTTTAGGCATGAATTATTTGAAATGAATAACGTCATTATCATTTAAAATTATAAACTCCAAATCAAATATAACTACAGTTTTCTTAGAAACAGCCAAAATGGCAAAATATAGTTAATGTCTTGAAACTATTTTTATTTTTTATAAACAGAAGATAGACGACAAACATTGGCACATGTCTTTGCACTTAAAACACACTCTTTGTGCCCCACTGAAAATTAAAAGTATAAGATCTTTTCTGTTACACAAAATAAATTCCTTATCAAGATATTCTATTTAAATACCTGTCAACCAGCTTCAAAGACTCACAGATAAAATCTGTTCTGGTGTTGGTACTTCTATTCTGAGACTACATGATATTTGTTTTCCTTCATGGAAGCTTTAGTACATCAAAAGAGGCAGAGGCATTAGTAACTAGCCGACTAGCTTCAGGACAAAAAAAAAAAAAAAAATCGGAGCAGAACTATTCATTCATTTTGCCAAGCTTCAAAATGCCTCTTCTATGAACTAATGATAAAGTAGCAACAGCCAGTCCCCTCTGTGATTTGTATCCAGTGGGATGTTTATACTTACTCGTTTTTTTTTTTTTTTTTTCCCAGACAGTCTCACTCTGTCACCAGGTGCCAGGCTGGAGTGCAGTGGCGAGATCTCAGCTCACTGCAACCTCCGCCCGGGTTCACGCAATTCTCCTGCCTCAGCCTCCAGAGTAGCTGGGACCATAGGTGCACGCCACTGAGCCCAGCTAGTTTTTGTATTTTTAGTAGAGAAGGGGTTTCACCATCTTGGCCAGGATAGATTCGATCTCTTGACCTCGTGATCCGCCCGCCTCGGCCTCCCAAAGTGCTGGGATTACAGGCGTGAGCCACTGCGCCCAGCCTATACTTACTCTTTTTGAAATCATTTCTAAGTTATGTTATAAGTCCATTCTAAGAATTTGCAAGGATAATTCTTATCTAACCAGATTCAACTCAATCTTAGATTGGATTCTTTAATATTGTAAGTATATTTCCCAAACAAATGCAGATCTAGCGAGGGAGTTGATGTTGAGAATCATTGCTGTACATCACGAAAAAGACCATTTAAACATGTCTCTTCCAGGGAGTTGTCATTTAAGAAAGGAGATACTGTCTACATTCTCAGGAAAATTGATCAAAATTGGTATGAGGGAGAACACCATGGAAGAGTGGGCATTTTCCCAATCTCATACGTAGAGGTAAGTCTTCTCCCTTTCTCTCTTGGATGATGGTTGTTTCAAAGGTCACCACAGGTTTGAGAATAAATGACTATTTCCTTCATAGAAACTCACACCTCCTGAGAAAGCACAGCCCGCAAGACCACCCCCGCCAGCCCAGCCTGGAGAGATTGGAGAGGCTATAGCCAAATACAACTTCAACGCAGACACAAACGTGGAGCTGTCACTCAGAAAGGTGGCCCGGCTGTGTTTCATTTGTTTCTTTGTTTGTTTGTTTTTGTCACTGCATTTGAAAAGGCTGTATATCTTCAAAACTAAAATAGGTCATCTTTTTCTTTAGACACATTTGTGTTTTTCCTATTTTCTGCAAAGGACTCCTTAAGGTAGCCTGGAGTCACAGTTCCCTGCTGGTCCCTGTGTCCTTTCAGAGGAGTTCCCTGAGGGACGCCAGGCTTCTCTGAGGCTTCCCTCTGTGGCTTGGTTTGGGAAGCCGGGCACAGGGCCGAAAATCAGGGAGTTATACATTCGGGAGCCCCAGAAGGAAAGAGCACTTTGATACGCTTCAAAATATTGTTTTGCTGCCTTATTTTCCAACCTTTTTTAAACAAGATACTCCAATCCTTATCTTCCTCTGTCTTGGAATGTAGGAATGGTCCTGGGTGATGAAGATCCTTCCTCTCAGGGGAGCCACTTGAGGAGCTGTCTGTACAGCGCCCTTTCCTGGCTCTTCCTCGTGATTGACCCAGATCTCTCTGGCATCCCATCCAATCCTAGTATCTCTTCTTAATCATATCAAAAGACTCTTGTAACCTGCTACTTTCCGTCACTAAGAATGAAAAAGGAACCATTTTTATTGCTTTCTAAACATGACATATATTTGTCTGAGGTAACTGCCTGTCTGCACACAATGCACATGAGACAGTAACATGCAGAGTGGCTCTAGGACGTCCCATGCCGGCTAGTGAATGCCTTCGCCAGGTGCGATGCAGGGCAATACCATAGTTCTGGTTTGTTCTGGTCCTGGCAGAACCTTGTCCCATTCTCTCCTTTCATTCCTCATTCTGCATCATCAGCCGATTCCTTCTTCTCTGCCCTCCGGGCCGCGCCACCCAACATGAGAACCACAGAGCATTACAGGAACTCTGTCTCCTGTTCCATGCTTTACAGAAAGGCTTCACCAAGGCATCTTATGGCTCACACACAGCCTAGCAACTTGGAATGTAGGAATGGTCCTGGGTGATGAAGATCCTTCCTCTCAGGGGAGCCACTTGAGGAGCTGTCTCTACAGTGCCCTTTCCTGGCTCTTCCTCATGATCTCAGTATATTTGGAAATCAGTGCAATTTTAAGATTTGGGGAGGCCGACTTTTCTTCAGTATGTTCTGCTCTGTGGTGGTGAAGCACACAAAATCAACCATGCAGCATTTTGACAGAAAGAGAACTTTCAAGTTCTACTCAAGGTAGAAGTTCCTGGGTAGCACCTGAGGAAGGGTGCCCCATCAGACTGAGAGTAATGACTGTTTCAGCTCCGTCACACAAGCAGGCACGGCTGCCCACACTCCTGTATCACCTGCTGAATGCAGCTGCAGTTTTTGCCCTGTAGCACCAACTTGGCTGCCTATTTCTAGGACACATGTAGTTTTGAATTAAAGTTTAAACTGAGTTCTGTGGCATTGGCTCAGTCACTGCAGGTGGAAGGAATACTGCTTGTAGAAAGTTCTATTATGGTGAAAGCCAAGGGTTCTATTCAAATATTTAATGACAAGTGTAGAATGGTCACCAACTACTCAGAAGAATGCTGGGCTCACATTGTCAGGATGAAGACCAGGGGAATGGCAGTCTTGTCACAGGGATTGATACTCTAGGGCGCTGTCTTTCCCCCATCCCTTTAGTTCACTCTGTCATGAAGATTAGAGAGAAAATGAGCCAGGCACGGTGGCTCATGCCTGCAATCCCAGCACTTTGGGAGGCTGAGGCAGTCAGATCATTTGAGGTCAGGAGTTCGAGACCAGCCTGGCCAACACGATGAAACCTCCATCTCTACTAAAATACAAAAATTAGCCAAGTGTGGTGGTGAGCACCTGTAATCCCAGCTACTCGGGAAGAATTGCTTGAAACCAGGAGGGGGAGGTTGCAGTGAGCCAAGACAGTGCTACTGCACTCCAGCCTGGGTGACAGAGTGAGACTTCTTCTCAAAATTAAAAATAAAAAAAGAAAGCGGTGTGCCATTCGGTGTTATCCCTTCTAGAAGCATTTTCTGTGACCCATTTCAGACACACTGTCACAGCGAGGTGTGGTGCACTTTCTGAAGCTCTTCCTATAGAAGGCCAAGGCACTCAGTGTGCCAGAGATAATATGAGACTGTTGTCATTGAGACATTACCTGTTACACTATTCTGCTTTTTGAAATAACTTAGACAAATAATTTCACACGATACCAGCATGAGCAAATATAAACCGGTTCACATTAACCAAGCATCCTTAGGGAAGATTCTGATGTCCTGAATGGACAATTTAATTACATATATGTGGATAATATGTATTTTTCTGGTAAGCACTAGGACCTTATTTGCAGGCCCCTGATTAAACAATAACTGAAGATACAAAACTTTCCCAAAAGGAAACCTACCATTTCATAGAAAACACTGACAATTATATTTTCATGTTATTCTCTCTCTATTTCTAATGCATTTTTCTCATATTCATAACAGGGAGATAGAGTTATTCTTCTTAAAAGAGTTGATCAAAACTGGTATGAAGGTAAAATCCCAGGAGCCAACAGACAAGGCATCTTCCCTGTTTCCTATGTGGAAGTCGTCAAGAAGAACACAAAAGGTGCTGAGGATTACCCTGACCCTCCAATACCCCACAGCTATTCTAGTGATAGGATTCACAGCCTGAGCTCAAACAAGGTAAGAAGATACTCTATCATGTTCATGTAATACTGGGAGCTCCAAGTAAGACAAGCGGTATGTGATTTTAGGATATTAGATTAGAATATCACATCTATTGCAGAGAAAGAGATTTACGTATTATGTTTCTATGTGTGTGAGCGCCACATCAGTAAATATAACAATTTTTCTCAAACAGATGCTGGCATAAAGATTTCATGATTAATTTTGCCCATTTCATTTTCAAGTTAAAATATCAAAAGAGAAAGACAAAAGAATAATATAAAGTCTTGTATGACACATACCTGTACGCCTATGTACATAAATGTTTTCTAAACCAATTTTTTCTACAGCTTTTTATATATGTAAATGTTATGTATATAATATGATCTAGATATAAATAAATACAAGTATATATACATACATATATACAATTGTGATTTATACTTTGAAATATAAATATATACAACATAAAATACTATGTATATCTCAAAACGGTATATCACAAGAATGCATGGTTATTAGGTTCACAAATCTATTCAAGTTTTTTATATGGAAAGTGAGCTAGAGCAAAAATTTTTAATGAGAGTCGATAAGTCAATTTGTGTATGAGCCTGAATGGAAATGTTTTAGGTTATTATAAGTCCTCGAGTTTATTTTATTAGTTTCAGGACAGGCATACGCCAGCTCTACTGTTTCACTCGAGTGGGCTAAAGGTGATTATCATTCTCAATATGTAATTTAAAAGAGACTTTGCTTCCTTAATTGGTGAATTTATAAAAAAGGCCATTTGACAGGCTATACTCACAATGTGAAATGTTTTCTTATTTTTCTGCTGAATTATATTCTTTTTATGAATGGCATTTAAGAATTTGTTTCTCATTAACTTCTAAGAATAAAAATTGCCATTACTTCCAAAATGTTGTAAGTACTTCCCAACATTTAAAAAATGTATTAAGTTGCATAATTGGTTAATGATTTTAATTGAGATCAAGGCTGAGACATGGAAAGCTAAACCATGTCAGCTGACCAAGCCAAAAAGTTTTCCAGAATCTTCTTAAGTATGTTTACTTCATTACCAGAGCTTAGCATCTTTCCTTCAGTATTTTCTGCTGATAAAGAGAAAAGATAAGAATCTCCATGCGTGTATTTGTCTTATCCACCATTCGGTCATCTTTAAAAAACTATCACAGAAATTTCAAAGCAACTGTACCTTCAAATAAAATGAGGAAAGAAAAGCATGTATCTACAAAAGCTCACTAAACATCTAACAAATTATTCCATATGTCCTAATTAACAATGGCAATATAATATTTTCAATTCCAGTCTTTGATGTGAATATAATTTAAATGTAATTGAATATATTTTCAAGTTTTTAAAATAATACCAGATTTTAAATAGAAAATTTCACTAATAACTAGTGTTTTATGGCTCACTGCTGGGGAAAGAATATGTTGAGAAGCTTATGTCTGTAATTTGAAATAAATACTTCATGGTTTTATCCCGACTGGTAATCCATGCTGTGATGTCACAGGCTTAATGAAGAAAACTTCTTAGTAGTGACAATCATTTTTAGAAAGATAAATATAATATAATTCTAAATGATGACATTCGAAATATACTAAATGCCATAGAACCTATTTTCTAACTGATATTTACATAGATAACTCATTAATAATTTATAAATTATGCTGGGGACAGATTTAAATCACATTTCTTGACATTCTGTCTTCGTCTTAGGGGAGACTAAAATGTAAGTTGACATTCTTTCTGACATTTCTGCTGTTCGTGCTTTGGATTCCACTTCTAGTGCTTTTGGAAAACAATTGTATGGCTTTTGTATTATAGGTATAGTTTGTGATATAGTTATACCAGGATGCTTCATTTGGCTTTGGTGTAAGCTAGTCCATCATAAAGGTAATCAGTTTAACCTGCAAATATGTGTTTTGGTGACTGTGATGGTGATGGCCCTGGAGGAGTGGCAGCAGGAGATAGCAATGGTGATGGTGGCCGTAATGACAAGGGAATTTAAAGAGCTTGCTTTCTCGTCCACATAATATTCCTGGCATAATAGAAAGTGAAAGTGGAAACTTGATGATTTTAAATTATTATATATTTTACAGACTTTTCAAATCTTTTTTTTTTTTTTTTTGAGACAGAGTCTCGCTCTGTCGCCAGGCGCTAGCCTGTAGCGCAGTGGTGCAATCTCTGCTCACCGCAACCTCTGCCTCCCGGGTTTAAGCAATTCTCCTGCCTCAGTCTCCTGAGTAGCTGGGACTAGAGGCACATGCCACCACGCCCAGCTAATTTTTGTATTTTTTAGTAGAGACAGAGTTTCACCATGTTGGCCAGGATGGTCTCGATCTCTTAACCTCGTGATCTGTCCGCCTCGGCCTCCCAAAGTGCTGGGATTACAGGCGTGAGCCACTGCGCCCGGCCTCCAACTCTATTAGAAACTTTCATGTTATGTAACAAAGGGTATAAAATAGAACTCTAGCTAGTAAGGAAACTTCTGTTGAATGAGACTTGAGTGGTTTATATCCTATTGAAAACTCAACATCTACAGGACTTAATAGGAGGAGCTGTCTACCCAGGCACAAACCACACATGCAGTCTCGCTGTGTGTCAGCAGCTAAGCAGCCTGGGTCCTGAATCTTTACTAAGATGCTCACATGAGTTTTGTGACATTTATGTCATCCCATGATAAGGTGACTTTTAAAAAAAGAAAGAGCTAAATAAATCCGATTAATACCCCATTCCTATTAGAGGACAAAGGAGTCCAAAGTTATGTGGGAAATGCATCACCCACTTACACACACTAGGGCCCAGGAGCAAAAGGGCCAGCTACCTGTGTAAAGTGTTATCCTAAACAATCAGCTGGAAAATGTCTCCAGAATCTTGTTGGAGACTTTTTTCTTTCCAAATCAAAGGCATCTGTCTGGAAAGCTGTAAAGTGAAAGGTCCCTTTCTTAAGGCCTTTATGCACAGAGCGGGCAGCATTTTCTCTAGCCCAGCAAAGGTAGATAAATATATTCCAATGTTAGTAAATAGCACTTCTAGAGCTACGTGTTTTCATTTTTAATTTTTATGGGCATATATGGGGCGTATTTATTTATTAGAACTACTTTTAATGACTTTGCATGAAATTTTAAATTTATTGTTTTGTTTACTATATCCAAAATGCCTCAGTAATACTAGATATACAGAAGTGTATTTTTACTTCAGGGGATTAAGCTTCATAAATCATACCTCCTCTGATTTACATAAATGACAAGCTTTGAAAGAGAACGGGAGCCTTAAGCAGAAGTGTTCTCTGCCGTTAGCATCAAATGGGCTTTTTCTGTGTAAACGTTTACTTTGGATTTTTTTAGACTTTGAAGCAGCAGTATGTAAGCTCAGCTTCATTCTGATCATGGGCCCCTGTCTTTGAAACATACTTTTCAGAATGTATTCACTTAGAAATCTGTTAACATATCATGTTCTAAAATACTTTATTTGTAGGTTCTAATCACCTTGCCAACCTAAGTAGGAACATTGTCAGAGTTTAAAAGATTGGGCTATACTGTCGCAAAAAAAGAGCATTACACAAATTCAGGAAATTAAAAAGATTTAACTGTTGGTTTTCATTCTACATTCCATTTCTTTGGAGTCATTTATACTACTAAATCAATATCTGGAAACCTGTAATATCTTTTCAACATAGTTTAAAGTGAGCAAGCTATTCAACCTCTTAGATTTTACTCGTCTTTTAATTTCTATATCATCTTCATCTTATTTGACATTGAGACCCCTTCCAAAGCTAGTAGGGTTTCATTGTTGAAGCAACTTCTCTAATGAAGGTGAATGATTTTATGTGTTTAAATTTCCGCAAAATATCTTCAAATCTAGACATCTTCTACATGTCTTTAAACCTGTCCTTGTTAAACATAAAATTATTTTCATATTCGCCAGCACATCTTTTCTGCATTTCTTCATCTCTGTGTTTTGATGCATTATTATTTTCTTACTTTATTTTTTCTTAACTTCATAATCCGCGCTCATCTCCAAGCTGGCTTCCAGTGAACCAGCCCCTCCTCCCACCCACACAGCCTCGCCTGGCTCACTTAAAGGAGCTCTCCGGGGAACTGCCCAGGGCCGGTTGTCCCTGACAGCCTCATGTCCACCAGCAAACCCTTTGGCCCCAACACCACCTCCTTCCCTGGACGACTTTTTGGATGAATTGGAGAAGCTTGGTGCTTTAACCTTGTCAGCTGACCAAGCGGAACCAAACATCCTAGAGGACCTCAGCCTGGAAATTAAGGAGGAACCTGCTGTGCCTCTCCTGTTGCCTCCAGCATCTGCGCCAGCCGAGTCACCTTCCGCTGGCGCGGGTGTGGCCTTGGCTGCAGCCCAGACTTACCATGCAGAGCCACTTCGGGATCCCATAACCACAACTCAAAGCAAGTTTGCAGATTTGAGAAAAATGAGAAGGGGCTTTTCAGACCCTAAAAAGGTGCCGGAAGTCCTAGGGGATAAGTTTGTGGCCTCTGCATGCACCAGCGTGGGTTCCTTGCCCACACCCCTGCCCGTCATTGGAGAGGAAGATGAGGGCATCTATGAGGGGATCGTGTCAGGCATCCAGAGAGGGCCGCCAGGACCTCAGGAAGGAGATGCCTGGTGGTGTGGCCACGATGTGACAGAGGGGACCCCACACCTACACATTGAAGAGGAGGAGGAAGAGGAGAAACCTGACTCCTTAGCCACCCCCCCAGATTCTAGGATCCCCAAGGAGGACAGCAATGCAGCAAAAACCAGTAATGAGGTATTTTAATTTTGCCTAATTACTGAAGAACTAACCGGCCTTACTATGATTAGCTATTACAGTTAATCATATTAATAAATATCTGTTTTGACACTGCCTAACAGGGCTTTTTAAACAAAAAACACAAACACTGTAAGCTGGGGAAGGAGTGGGTATATCAAAACACACCACATTTAATTAAATGATGTAAATATGCGGTATAATTCCATTATCCCATTAT